ACCCTGATTCCGAAACCAGACAAAGACACCTCAAAGAAAGAAAAGTACAGACAAATATCTCTAATGAACCTAGATGCAAAAATCCTCAATAAAATTCTGGCGAATCGGATACAAAAACACATCAAAAAAATTGTGCACCATGATCAAGTAGGATTCATCCCTGGGATGCAAGGATGGTTCAATATACGGAAATCAATAAATGTTATTCACCACATCAATAGACTTAAAGATAAGAACCATATGATCATCTCGATAGACGCAGAAAAAGCATTCGACAAAGTACAGTATCCCTTTATGTTCAAAACATTAGAAAAACTAGGTATAACAGAAACTTACCTCAACATTGTAAAAGCTATCTATGCTAAGCCTCAGGCTAGCATCATTCTGAATGGAGAAAAATTGAAGGCATTCCCTCTAAAATCTGGAACAAGACAGGGATGCCCTCTATCACCACTTCTATTCAATATAGTTCTCAAAACACTGGCCAGAGCAATTAGACAGATGAAAGAAATTAAAGGCATAAAAATAGGAAAAGAAGAACTTAAATTATCACTATTTGTGGGCGACATGATTCTATGCCTAGAAGACCCAACAGGGTCTACAAAGAAACTACTAGAATTAATAAATGAATTCAGCCAAGTGGCAGGATATAAAATCAACACGCATAAATCAAAGGCATTCCTGTATATCAGCGACAAAACTTCTGAAATGGAAATGAGGAAAAACACCCCATTCACAATACCCTCAAAAAAAATAAAATACTTGGGAATCAACCTAACAAAAGAGGTGAAAGACTTATACAATGAAAACTACAGAACCCTAAAGAGAGAAATAGAAGAAGATCTTAGAAGATGGAAAAATATACCCTGTTCATGGACAGGCAGAACCAACATCATTAAAATGACGATATTACCAAAAGTTCTCTATAGGTTCAATGCAATGCCAATCAAAATCCCAATGACATTTCTTGTAGAAATAGATAAAGCAATCATGAAATTCATATGGAAAAATAAAAGACCCAGAATAGCAAAAGCAACTCTAAGCAGGAAGTGTGAATCAGGCGGTATAGCGATACCAGATTTCAAACTATACTACAGAGCAATAGTAACAAAAACAGCATGGTACTGGTACCAAAACAGGCGGGTGGACCAATGGTACAGAATAGAGGACACAGAGACTAATCCACAAAGTTACAACTATCTTATATTTGATAAAGGGGCTAAAAGCATGCAATGGAGGAAGGATAGCATCTTCAACAAATGGTGCTGGGAAAACTGGAAATCCATATGCAACAAAATGAAACTGAATCCCCTTCTCTCGCCATGCACAAGAGTTAACTCAAAATGGATCAAGGAGTTTGATATCAAATCAGAGACTCTGCGTCTGATAGAAGAAAAAGTTGGCTACGATCTACATATTGTGGGGTCGGGCTCCAAATTCCTCAATAGGACACCCATAGCACAAAAATTAATAACAAGAATCAACAAATGGGACTTACTCAAACTAAAAAGTTTTTTCTCAGCAAGAGAAACAATAAGAGAGGTAAATAGGGAGCCTATATCATGGGAACAAATTTTTATTCCTCACACTTCAGATAGAGCCCTAATATCCAGAGTATACAAAGAACTCAAAAAATTAAACAATTAGATAACAAATAACCCAATCAACAAATGGGCCAAGGACCTGAACAGACACTTCTCAGAGGAGGACATACAATCAATCAACAAGTACATGAAAAAATGCTCACCATCTCTAGCAGTCAGAGAAATGCAAATCAAAACCACCCTAAGATACCATCTCACTCCAGTAAGATTGGCAGCCATTATGAAGTCAAACAACAAGTGCTGGCGAGGATGTGGGGAAAAGGGTACTCTTGTACATTGCTGGTGGGACTGCAAATTGGTGCGGCCAATTTGGAAAGCAGTATGGAGATTCCTGGGAAAGCTGGGAATGGAACCACCATTTGACCCAGCTATTGCCCTTCTCAGACTATTCCCTGAAGACCTTAAAAGAGCGTACTACAGGGATACTGCCACATTGATGTTCATAGCAGCACAATTCACAATAGCTAGACTGTGGAACCAACCCAGATGCCCTTCAATAGATGAATGGATAAAAAAAATGTGGCATTTATACACCATGGAGTATTACGCAGCACTAAAAAATGATAAAATCATGGAATTTGCAGGGAAATGGATGGCACTAGAGCAGATTATGCTAAGTGAAGCTAGCCAATCCCTAAAAAACAAATGCCAAATGTCTTCTTTGATATAAGGAGAGTAACTAAGAACAGAGCAGGGAGGAAGAGCAGGAGGAAAAGATTAACATTAAACAGAGACATGAGGTGGGAGGGAAAGGGAGAGAAAAAGGAAATTGCATGGAAATGGAAGGAGACCCTCATTGTTATACAAAATTACATATAAGAGGTTGTGAGGGGAATGGGGAAAAAAAACCAAGGAGAGAAATGAATTACAGTAGATGGGGTAGAGAGAGAAGATGGGAGGGGAGGGGGGATAGAAGAGGATAGGAAAGGTAGCAGAATACAACAGTTACTAATATGGCATTATGTAAAAATGTGGATGTGTAACCGATGTGATTCTGCAATCTGTATTTGGGGTAAAAATGGGAGTTCATAACCCACTTGAATCTAATGTATGAAATATGATATGTCAAGAGCTTTGTAATGTTTTGAACAACCAATAAAAAAATTAAAAAATAAAAAAAATTAAAAAAACTAATCCTACCTTGTTCATTCCTAATTCCTCACCTATGAATAATTACAACAACCACCATACTAATGGTAACATATCCTAAAAGAAAGATAATGGATAAACACAATAAGGCAAAACTCAACATTTATGATGAGTTTTCAAGCTGGTTTCCAGTAAAGATTTGAAACTAAATAAAACCAAAATGTAAAGTTCTATTGAGCTTGAAATGTAAGTCAAGCAGTCTGGCCTTCATGAGTCTCAGCATAAAAAAGACAACAGAGAAAGGTAGAATGCTCCAGAAGTAATGAAAAAAAAAAGCAGCTATTGGCTATCAGGAGCAGTACAGAAAAGACTCAAGAGAAGAGATATGTTCGAGCTGGGCCTCAGAGGATGAATAGACATTTACAAAAGAAGGGCAGGCAGACAGTCCTTCTAGGCAGGAAGACCCAGAAGAAGTAACAGTGAGGTATATCTGCCATATAGAATGAAAGAGGGCAAGTAGTAGGACAGGAAGTCACAGATGTCAAAAGCTCTAGTCTTTATCTAGCTGGCATGAGAAATTAAAAGACAAAAGGCAGGGCTGGGGATGTGGCTCAAGCGGTAGCACACTCACCTGGCATGCGCGGGGCACTGGGTTCAATCCTCAGCACCACATAAAAATAAAAATATTGTGTTCACCGAAAACTAAAAAATAAATGTTAAAAATATTCTCTCTCTCTCTCTCTCTCTCTCTCTCTCTCTCTCTCTCTAAAAAAAAAAAAGAGAGAGAGAGAGAGAGAGAGAAAGGGCAATAGGATTTGGTTTTACAGAAAAATAACTCTAACAATCAGGTAAGGCACTGGTTGACAGACATTTGTCCCAGACTTCAAGGTTCCTTGGTGCTACATCAGGGCCTATTGTGTGAGAGAGGAACACTAATACTTTTTCACTTTTCTATATTAAAATTCCAGGAAAAAAAGTCTTGTCACTTAAGAACAAAATAAAAAGAAAAGAAGAAAACCACTGGCTTAAAGAAATGCTTCTAAATGGGGGTGCAGGATCTGGGCACCCAAGGAACATATGGCAATGTCTATAGACATTCTTGGTTGTCACAACTGTGGGTTTAAGCCACTGGTATCTCGTGAGGAGAGGTCAAGGATGCTGCTCAGTTTTCTACAATACACAGGACAATCCCCCACAACAAAAAATGTTGTTCTGGTCCAAAATGTCAGTAGTGTCAAGGTGGAAAAACCTTGGCCTAAAGGATGGTTTGAAGAAAGGACAGACTAGAAACAGACACACCAGTTGGGTGCAATGGCACATGTTTCAATTCCAGATACTCAGGAGGCTGAGACAGGAGGATTAAAAGTTCAAGGCCAGCCTGAGCAACTTAACAAGACCTTCAGCAACTTAAAGAGTCTCTGTCTCAAAAAATAAAAAGGGCTAGGTATGTAGCTCAATGGTAAAGTGCCACTGGGTTCAATCCCCAGTATCAAATAATCATTATCATTATCATCATCATCATCATCATCATCATCATCATAAAAAGAAATAGACATATCAATGAGATTAGTGTAATAGTTGAAAAAAATGAGGACAGGATAAGGCAGTGGTATTAGCAGAGGGATGAAAGAAACTACTCTGAGCTGGAATCAGCAGCAACACTGAGACCATATCCTATGTGGAGAAGAGGCTGAGCTGAAATCAGCATGGATACTGAGACTATATCTCATGTGGACAAGGTCATGGGAACTTTTCTACAAATGGAGGGGGCCAGGCACAAAGTTGATCTGCTAGGGGCTGTGGGAGTTGGGAATAGGAATTGGTAATAGTAGCAGAAATATGGTATTCAAGACCTGTTTTATTTTTCACTATAAACTGATCCACGTTACTGTTGAAATTTTGCATATAGAGAATTGTTAAGTAAATGCTAGAATTTTAGCTCCCGTGTTGTTATTGTGGTGGGGCTCAAAGCCAAGGATTTTACAAATGCTAGGCAAGTGCTCTACTACTAAGCTACATTCCCAGTCCCACATTCTTGTGACAAAAAGTTTAGTGCCATAAGAACAGAGTTAAAGGGCTGGGGCTGGGGCTCAGTGGTAGAGCCCTTGCCTGACATGTGTGAGACACTGGGTCCAAATCTCAGCACCACATATAAATAAATAAAGGTCTATCAACAGCTAAAAATATTTATTTATTTATTTATTTATTTATTTATTTATTTATATTTTTAAAAAAAGAACAGAGTTAAAGAGAAAACAGCAAGGACACTATTCAAAATCCTTATCATCTACTGTTGATCATGCCTACCTGTGGTTTATCCAATGAGGAATATTATAGTCATCACCCAGCCGAGAATCTCGAGGAGCACTCCGATTGTGTAGCTGTGAGGGAAAAAGCACAAAGATAAGCTAGAAAAGAAGACAGACAAGGAACTGTTCCACCTTTTCTGTTTTTAACTATTTTCCAATTGGCCTTTGGGAAAACAATTCAAAATCTAATCACCTTGAACAATGGGACAGCATGTAAGGGTTGCTCTCCCATGCACACCAAGTCTACACCAATTCCTAAAAAAGAGTAAGGGGAGGGGAACAGCGGAGATTAGTTTTCCAATCTATTAATGATGTTATTTAGCCTGGACTGAAGCAAAGTCAGCATACCATTCTACTTAACCTCGGTAGTGCTACCTACTCAGCACAGTAAACAGATGCATTTTGTCTATTTTTTCCTCTATCAAATCCTGTCACACTATTCAGTGCTTGAAAATTAGCCTGAGTGCCCTCCAAGTCATGATTCATGAAAAATGACAAGGGCTCCTTTATTCAAGTTTTAAGATCAAGAAGTAAAAGGAATCTTATAATCTTGATAATATAAAACAATCTAGATCACTTAACAGAACTTTTTTCTTTTTTTGTATGGTGCTGGGTATTGAACCCAGAGATTCATACATACTAGGCAAGCACTCTACCCCTGAGCTACATCCATAGCCCCAGGGCTTCTTTATTGGCAATCATGATTTACTTTCTCAATTCTATCTCTTTTTTTTTTTTTTTTTAATATTTATTTATTTATTTTTAGTTTTCAGCGGACACAACATCTTTGTATGTGGTGCTGAGGATCGAACCCGGGCCGCACGCATGCCAAGCGAGCACACTATCGCTTGAGCCACATCCCCAGCCCCTCAATTCTATCTCTTTGATGATACACAAATCAAACTGGGAATACGGATCCAAGATAGGGATGCATGGCACATCAAAGAAAGAGGATTGGACCAGATAATTTACTAATGCTTCCACCAAACATAAGCTGATGGCACATTTGTCTTTTAAAATAATCTCCCCTAGAAAGGAGTTCCTAGTGTCAAATATGTTTGGAAACTCAGAATACCAGATATTCCCTTTAGAGATAAACAAGATACACTAACATATTAAAAAATTCTGAGGAAGGGCCAGATACAGTGGTGCAAACCTATAATCTCAGCCACTCAGAAGGCTGAGGCAGGAGAATTATAAGTCTGAGGCCAGCCAGGGCAACTTAGGAAGACCTTGTCTCAATATAAAAAGGGCTGGGAATGTAGCTCAGTGGTACAGTGCTTGCCTAGTATGTATGAGGCCCTGGGTCCAATCCCCCCATCCCCCCCCCAAAAAAAAACATACATTCAGAAAGATGACACACAGAACACCTTGTAGAGCTTCTCATAACTCTAAAGTCAATAAAAACTCAGAGATCTAAGGACAAGTCGGACCCTGAACACAAGAGACAGTACAAACAAGACAGTGTTACCATTATCTATCATCCGTTGCTTGGTCAAAATCATGAGTAGGCGGTCCACTTCAAAGACACCCACCCCAGGCGTGATCACCACAGACATCTGCCCAGTCCGGTCAAAGTTGCGGTTGATATAGTGCTTGTCAAACACTTGAAAGAAAACAAAAATTCCCCAATAATGTTAACAGCTTTTCAAAAACTAGTTACTAGCAAGTATCTCTGTGCTCTGAGCATTTTTTATGCATATTTTAATAATAGCTATTGCCACTCTCTGACCTGAATTCTAGCTAAAATGTATGTCTTTCCTCTTTTACATTAACAACTCCCTCAACAAAGGACTATATTACTGTCACTTTTGTCAATCCCCCTTATCAATGCTTAAGACTTGCCTTGTGCAGCCTAAATGCTCAAATTTCATGCCATAAATTTAATAACCCATCAAGGAATCTGTACTGAAACTTCCAAAACCAAATATTTAAACCAACTCAGAAGGTTTCTGTTATTGGCAAATAATAGTATCTCAGCTACCACAAAAACACAAGGACAATGATCCTTAGGAAGGAAATCACACCACATTTCCTAACAATTGACTCCTCTTGAAAAGTACTGATGGGGGAGTGACTTTTTCTTATTTGATATACCATTCTATACTTTTATTTATTTTTTTTTAATATTTATTTTTTAGTTGTAGGTGGACCCAATATCTTTATTTTACTTTTATGTGGTGCTGAGGACCGAACCCTGTGCCTCACGCCTGCTAGGCATGCACTCTACCACTGAGCCACAACCCCAGCCCCTACTTTTATTAATTTTTCCTTTTGTTTTTCTTTTTTTTTTTAATTGGTTCTTTTTAGTTACATACAACAGCAGAATCCATCGTGATATAATTATATAAGTTGGAATATATCTTATTCTAGGTTGGAGTCCCCTTCTTATGGATATACATGGTGGTGGGATTCACTGTATTGTTTTCATATGTGTACATGGGAAAACTGTATCAGATTCATTCCACTGTCTTTCCTTTGCTTTTCGGGGGATGGGTACCAAGGATTGAACTCAGGGGCACTCAACCACTGAGCCACATCCCCAGCCCTACTTTGTCTTTTATTTATAGACAGGGTCTCATAGAGTTGCTTAGCACCTCAATTTTGCTGAGGCTGGCTTTGAATTCACGAATTCTCCTGCAGCCTCCTGAGCCACTGGGATGACAGGCGTGCGCCACTGTGCCTGACTCCTTTGCTATTTAAAGTAATTTTTAAAAATTACCCAGAAGCAGTTGAGGGATGAGTTGAAAAATAAGAATACAGTTTGTAGTATTAAAAAAATAAAAAGAACCCAAGGAAGATTCCCTCCAGTTCTTTATGAGACTACAAAATTAATTTCCCAACAGAAGACTCAAAAGGTAAGTGTTGGTCATTAAGACCAACTAATCAGAAGTCACTACTTAGAATTAGTTTGGGGAGTGAGTGGATGGAGGCATCATTGGCTAGGTCTGGGACTCTGGGCATCAGTAAAGTCTATAATCATATACCAAGTAAGATGCTGGCTGTGGCTGGTGTCTGTACTTACCATTGAATGACAGATTGATGGCCTCTAGGTAGTTTCCTTGTGCTGAGGTAGAATTATCTCCTTGAGGAAAGCCCTCTGAAGCAAAAAGAGAAGGAAAAACATCTCATGAAAGATGAAAAAATTTTTTTTTCTACTGGAGATTGAACCCAGGGGTATTTTATCACTGAGCTACATACCCAATCCTTTTCATTTTAATTTTGAGACAGGATGTCCCTAAATTTCCTAGGCTGTCCTTGAATTTGCAATCCTCCTACCTCAGCCTCCCAAGTCACTAGGATTACACAAGTGTGCTTATGAAAAATGAATTCTTAAAAAATTAGTAGAAGGGTCATGTTAATTGAAATAAGCCAATCTAAAAAAACCAAAGGCCAAAAGTTCTCTCTGATATGCAGATGCTAACACAATAAGGATGGGGGCAGGAGGATAGAAGTTCACTGGATTAGACAAAGGGGAATGAAGAGAAGGGGGCGTGAAGGATGAGAAGAGGAAACACAGTAGAATGAATCTGACATAACTTTATAATGTTCATATGTGAATACGTGAAAAGTATAACTCCACATGTATAACCACAAGAATGGAAATTATAATCCATATATATATATATATATATATATATATATATATATATCATGTCAAAATATACTCTACTGTCATATATAACTAAGTTATACTCCATGTACATATAACATGTCAAAAAACACTCTACTGTCATATATAACTAAAAAGAACAAATTGAAAAAAAAATAGTGGAAGGTATCTGGTTCTATAGGGTTTCCCCCTCACCTGTATTAGGGACACTGTTCAACTTAACTGCATATGTAATGAACAAATGCATCCAATCAGAAATAAAAACCTGTCTAGAAGCAGAAACGTCAAATGGCAATGGAAGAGAAATAAGGATGAACTTCTTTTAATCTCTAGCCTCCATCCTACACCTCCTCTCCCCACCCCACAATCTATCATATAAATGCAGTACCTGCCTGTTCCAGTCGCACCAAAACTGGATACTGGATGAAGAGCTTTTTAATGGTCACTAGAAGTGAAGTCCATTCTTCTCTTCTCTCATTCTGCACAACCACTCTGAAAATAGTATTATCATAAAAGAGATATCAAGCAGTAATTATTAACAGGATATCAAGTCCCTTACAGAGACTCAAGGAAAAAGGAAGACAGGATTCCTAGAGTCAGGGAAATTCACTACATAATAATAAAGTTGAATGTACTCAACAAACATAAAGAAATGTGATGGGGCTGGGGTTGTGGCTCAGCGGTAGAGTGTCCACCTAGCATGTGCAAGGCCCTGGGTTCGATCTTCAGCACCACATAAATAAAATAAAGGTACTGTGTGCAACTACAACTAAAAAATAAATCTTTTTTAAAATAAATAAATGTGATGATATTAATATTCATACAAATTATGATGACATTAATATTCATATAAATTATCCAGAACCTTGCATACCACTAAGCTATAGCCCCAGTCAATAGTTATATAAATTCTAAATTTTTTTAAATATATGAAAATAAGCCAAGTGCAACGGCACACAGCTGTAATCCCAGTTACTCAGGAGCTTAGGTGGAGGATCACAACTTCAAGGCCAGCCTTGGCATTAGTAAGACCTTATCTCAAAATAAAAATTTTAAAAATGGGGGCTGAGGGCTAGGGATGTGGCTCAAGTGGTAACGCGCTCGTCTGGCATGTGCGGGGCGCTGGGTTTGATCCTCAACACCACATAAAAAATAAAAATAAAGATATTGTGTCCACCTAAAACTAAAAAAAAAAAAAAAATGGGGGCTGAGGTTGTAGCTCAGTGGTAGAGCACTTGCCTAGCATATGTGAGGCAGTGGGTTCAATCCTTAGCACTACATAAAAATAAATAAATAAAATAAAAGTATTGTATCCATCTACAACTAAAAAAAATTTTTTTAATTTTTTTAAAAATTTAAATGGAGCTGGGAATGTAGCTCAGTAAAAGCACCCCTAGGTTCAATCCCAGTATTTTAAAAAAAAAAAAGGAAAAAACACACTGATATTATGTCAATGCCTAAAGTTGGGAAGGGATATTAAGATCTATACATACTGTTGAGGGCATGTAAACTTTGATGAATTGCAACTAGGGGGTACATATTAAAAACCTTAAAAAGGAACATCCGTATTCCAGATATATCCAACAAATACACCCAGATCAGAAAGCTAGATAACAAAGGGGAGGATGGGGTTGTGGCTCAGTGGTAGAGCGCTCACCTAGCACGTGCGAGGCTCTGAGTTCAATCCTCAGCACCACACAAAAATAAATAAATAAAATAAAGGTATTAAAAAAAAAGAACAAAGGGATGGGTGGGAATCTGCCTATAGTATACTCTGTGTACTTTAAAAATTAGAACCACATGAATGTATTCCAAAAATAATAATAAATTAAAATTCTAAAAATATATATACTTCCCTTTAATCATTTTGTGTGTATGGGTGTGTGTGTGTGTGTGTGTGTGTGTGTGTGTGTGTGTGTAAGAGAAAGAGAGAGAGAGAGATTGATTGATTAAACACAGGGCTTTACAGGCTAGGCAACCACTGAGCTATATCCCTATCCTTTATATATTTTTTTAATTTATTTGTTTATTGCCAGGCACAGTGGCACTCACCTGTAATCTCAACTCCATAGGCTGAGGCAGAAGCATTACAAGTTCAAGACCAACCTCAACAACTTATCAATACTCTTCTCAAAATGAAAATTAAAAGGACTGGGATGTATAACTAAAAAGAACAAACTAAAAAAACAAAAAATTTAAAAAGGAGGGAGGGGCTGGAGTATAGCTCAGTGGTAGAATGCTTGCCTAAGATGGGTGAGTCCCTGGGTTCCATCCTCAGCTCCACATAAAAATAAACAACAACAAACAAATAAATAAAATAAAGGTTAAATTATTTCTTTAAAAAAGGACTAGGGATGTAGGTAAAGTGCTTCTGAGTTCAATCTCCAGTATCTAGGAAAAAACAGACTGTTCACTGGTAAGGATGATAGTAAAAAGTTGGAAATCACCTAAACGTTTAACAATAGTAACCCAACAGAATGTCTAAATAGCAGTAAAAAAAGGTACTATAGAAGTAGAGTGTTTGACATGGAATGATGATAAAGTAAGTAGGAAAATGCAGGTATAAAACAGTAGGGGGGGCTGGGGTTGTGGCTCAGTGGTAGAACCCTTGCCCGGCATGTGTGAGACCCTGGGTTTGATCCTCAGGAAAAGAAAAGAAAACAAAACAAAACAAAAGAGTCTGTCCATCTACAATTTAAATTTTTTTAAAAAATTAAAAATAAAACAGGTTAAAAAAAATCAATGGAATGTGTGATCACAACTCTGTAAAAATTAATTTTTGTTTTTATAAACACAGAACAGGGATTGATTCACCAAGTTGGTGATGAGTGTATCTAGGAGATAGAATTGAGGGTATTGCTCTTTACTTAACTATATTGTGATTTTCCTAAAATGATCTTGTATCATTTCATTCACTCTGGAAAATGTTGGAAAGGCATTTTAATGACATAAAAAAAAAATTAACATATTAATAATATATAACATAAACCATTAGTCTACATTAATAATTCATATTTCTAATTTACATCTTTTATATATTTGTAATTATATTCAAATGCATTAATATTTATCATATAGATATAATTTTATATATATATATATATTTTTTTTTTTTTTAAGCCAAAAGAGCTCCAGGATCCCACTGAACTGGTATGCAGCATTTATCTGTATGAGGGATGACTGATGGTGTTGAGAAAGATGGCCCATCGCTTTCAGAAAATTCTCCAAGAGATACACCACCCAAAAAAAGTTCAATAATATTTTTAATAATATTCATTCTGTATATTAAAACACCAAAACTTATTCCTCTTATCTGACTGTCACTTTGTAACTGGTATGCAACCATCCTCACATACCCTACTTCCCTGTCTTCCCCAGCCTGTGGTAACCACTACTCCGTTCTCTACTTCTATGAGCTTAATTTTTTTAGATTCCAAATATAAGTGATATCATGTGACATCTGTCTTTCTATGCCTGGCTTACTGTACTGAAATAACACACTAAATCCCAGAAAGATATATTATGTTAATTTAAAATAAAGAAAAAGATCAACAAATAATTTAAAATACAATCAGTATTAGGTTGAAGAATACAGTGATTAAAAGCAGACTCTGATTTAGACTGCATCAAACCCAGCATATTTCATTGTCTTTGGGTAAGTTACCTAAACTCAGTGTACAAACTTCTACAACCATAAAATGGGATGAAAGTAACTATTTCATAAGGATGTTGTGTTGTTTAAATGAATCAAGTTATATAAAGGCCCTAAAATAGTACCCCATACATGGTAAGTCTGGAATAAACAGTAATTACCATCTTTTTTGGTGGGGGCGTGGGAGCGGGTACCAGGGATTGAACTCAAGGGTACTCAACCTGAGCCACATTGCCAGCCAGCCCTATTTTGTATTTTATTTAGAGACAGGGTCTCACTGAGTTGCTTAGTGCCTCCATTTTGCTGAGGCTGGCTTTGAACTCTCAATCCTCCAGCCTCAGCCTTCCAAGACTCTGGGATTACAGACATATGACACTGCACCCAGCTTAATTACCATCTTATCATCATCTTTTTTTATATAAACCTTTTTTTTTTTAATGTGGTGCTGAGGATTAAACCCAGGGCCTCACATGTGCTAGGCAAGTGCTCTACCGCTGAGTCACAACCCCCAGCCCCTTATCATCATCTTAACAGGACAGTGGAGCTGCTAATATTTTCTACCTTGTGCCATTTTATATTTTTCAAACTTCCTGTGATAAACCTATGTTATTTTTTAAACTACATAAAATGATAATTCAAGCTAAGCATAGTGTTACATGCCTATAACCTTAACTATTCAGGAGGCTAACTAAGGCAGGAAGATCACAAATTTAAGGTCAGTTTGGGCAACTTGGTGAGATCCTGTCTCAAAATAAAATTTTAAAAAGGCCAGTCTTGATCACTCATGCCTGTAATCCCAGCAATCAGGAGGCTGAGGCTAGAAGACAAAAGTTCATGGCTAGCCTGGACAACTGAACAAGACTCTACCTCAAAATTTTTTAAATAAATAGATAAATAGGGCTGGGGAAGTAGTTCAGTAGCAGAGTGTCCCTGGATTCAATCCTCAGTACCACAGGGGAAAAGGTTATCTTAAAAACTGCCTAAGGGCTGGGGATATAGCTCAGTTAATAGAGTGTCTGCCTTGTATGCACAAGGCCCTAGGTTCAATCCCCAGCACCACAAAAAAAAAAAAAAAGGAAAAAAAATTGCCTAAAAGGTTTCCACAATTTCTGTCACTCTTTAGAACTTATCAATACTAATTAAAAACAAAATTATAGTTAATAAAGTACTTACACTTTTTTATTTTGCAGTACCAAGGATTAAACCCAGGGGATCTCTACCACTGAGCTACTTACTCAGTGATACTGCAGGGACACCAGACTCATCTCTGTCCTGCTGCGATACATGTGAGGTACAAAGCATCAACGAGACAATCTTACTAATAAAATAAATAAATAAAAAGTGTCTGGGCTATGGCTCAGTGGTTAAGCTCCCTTGAGTTCAATCCTTAGTAACAAACAAACAAACAAACAGGGTTGGGGATGTAATTCAGTAATAAAGCAACCCTAAGACAAATCTCTAGTACCAAAAAAAATAAAAATGAGTAAGTAAATTTAATTTAAGCTAGGCATGTTGGTGCTTGCCTATAATTCCAGTGATTCAGGATACTGAGGCAGGAGGATAACAAATTCAAGGTCAGCCTTGGCAATTTTGCAATGCCCTGTCTCAAAATAAAAATAAAAAGAACAGGAGATATAGCTCAGTGCCCCTGGCATCAATTCCCATTCCCAGTCCCCCTGCAATATAAAATAAATTATGATTTTAGAAAATTTAATTTTAAAAAATGAAAATAGCTGGAAACAGTGATACACGCCTATAATCCCAGTAACTCAGGAGGGGAGGATCACAAGTTTGAGGTCAGCTTTAGCAATTTGGCAAGACCCTATCTCAAAATAAAATTTTAAAAAGAGCTGGGTCTTTAGCTCCAAGGCAGAATGCTCCTGGGTTCAATTTCCAGTATGATAAGCTAATTAAAAAATAAAAACAAAAATGCCCCCTTACTCAATGACACTGCAGGGACACCAGACTCATCTCTTGTCCTGCTGCAATACATGTGAGGTACAAAGCATCAACGAGACAATCTTACTAAAAAAGATTCAACTAAGTCTTCAAAGCAGGGCTTCTCAATGCAGGCACCTTTTTTTTTTTTTTTAATTAATACAGCATTATAGTTAAACACAGTAGTTGGATTTATCCTGACTAATTTGTAATGCATGGAATTTAAGTTCATGTTCCCCACTTTTCTCACTCCTCCTCCCTTCGTGTTCTCCTTCATCTACTCTACTGATCTTCCTTTCATTCTTCTACTTATTTATTTTTTATTGGTTATTTCTATTTATACATAAAGGTAAAATTCCCTGTGGTATATTTATAGATACACATAGCATGATTTTTTAAATCTTTTCTGCATTTCCTCCCCTTTCCCATCCTTCCTCTCTCCTTCCTGATCTTCTTCTCTTCTACTGATCTTCCCTTTATCTTTATGATATCCAATCCTCTCCTCCTTTCCTTTATTTTATTCTAGCTTCCACATATGAGTTTACCCTTGATTTTCTAATACTGGCTCATTTCACTTAGCCTGATGTTCTCCATTTCCATCCATTTACAAGCAAATGCCATAATTCCATTCTTCTTTATGGCTGAGTAAAACTCCATTGTGTGTATATACCACACTTTCTTCATCTATTCATCTATAACACGTATCTAGGTTAATTCCATGATAATTGTGAATTGTGCTGCTATAAACTTTGAAGTAGCTGTATCACTATAGTATGATTCTTTGGGATATATACCAAAGAGTGAAATAGCTGGGTCATATAGTGATTCCATTCCTAGTTCCATGTAGGCACCATTAATATTTTGAGCAAAATAACTGTGAGGGACTACTTTCTGCATTGTGGGACATTTAGAAACATTCCTGATTTCTACCCACTAGATACCAGCTGCATACCTTCTTCCCACCACCCATTTAAGAAAATAAGAAATATCTCAAGACATGACTAAATATCCTGGAGCAGAGAACCTCAGTAGTAACCTCTAGTTTACAGAAAAAGTAAGTTAAAACTTATTGCATACACATGCAATCACATAAATCCAGAAAGGGTATTCTACAGCCTTCCTACTCAAATTGTTGTGTAAACACCAGCAATATGTGAAAACACAGGAGCTAGCTAGAAAAGCAAATTTATCCCATCCAATCCTGAACTGATAAGAAAAAACATTTTAAGTCAGACACAGTGGTACATACCTGAGGCTGAGACAGGAAGATTGCAAACTTGAGACAAGCCTGAGCAATTTAATAAGAGCTTGTCTCAAAATAAAATCTAAAAATAGACTGGGATGAAAGCAGGGCGTGGTGGTGCACACCTGTAATCCCAGCAGCTCAGAAGGCTGAGACAGGAGGATCACAAGTTCAAAGCTAGCTTCAGCAATTTAGCAAGGCCCTAAGCAACTTAGTGAGATTCAGTCTCAAAATAAAAAATAAAAAGAGCTGCCAGCCCGCCTGAAACCCCAGCAGCTCAGGAGGCTGAGACAGGAGGATCATAAGTTCAAAGCCAGCCTCAGCAAAAGGCAAGGTGCTGAACAACTCAGTGAGAGCCTGTCTCTAAATAAAATACAAAATAGGACTGGGGATCAGGCTCAGTGGTCGAGTGGCCCCGAGTTCAATCCCCAGTACCACAAAAAAATTAAATTAAATTAAATAAAAAGAGCTCAGGATGTGGCTCAGTGGTTAACTGCCCAGGGATTCAATCCCTTGGGTACTAAAAAAAAAAAAAAAAGGACCTGGGATGTAGCTCAGTGGTAGAACACTTACCTAACATGAGCAAGGTCCTAAATTCAATGACTAGTACCATGGGGGAAAAAAAGTTTACAGGATAAGCATTTTGTACAAGATCCCAGTGGGTAGATCACATGCACATTAAAGTATATTGTTTATTTTTCTTTTTTTCATTCTTTTTAGGGCTAGGGATTAAATCCAGGCAAATGCTCCTCAGTTCCATACTAAAGCTTAAGTAGCACAGTTCACAGAACTACTAACCTAGAGTCTTCAACAAGTGAATGGTTAAAACCAACACAGTGGCACATGAATGAAACCCCAGAGGCCCAGGACACTGAAACAGGATCCCAAGTTCAAGGTGAGTCTCAGCAACTTAGTGAGGCCCTAAACAACCTAGTAAGATGCTGTCTCAAATTAAAAAATAAAAAGGGATGGGGATGTGGTTCAGTGGGACAGCACCCCAGGTTTAATCCCCAATACTGGGTGAGGAGGGGGGAATAGACTAAACATAAATTATTCTGAGGACAACTAAGGAAATCTGAATACACACTACATTGTGTATGATACAATAGAATTACTATTACAACTTTTTAATTGTGAAATGTGATAATATTAATATTTTATATATAAAAATGTTCTGTTTTAGAGTAGGGAAGAAGAGCATGAGAAGAAGATTACCACTAAACAGGGACGAGAGATGGGAGGGAATAGGAGGGAGAAGGGGAATTGCACAGAAAAAGGAAGGAGACCCTCATTGTTATACAAAATTACATATATGATAGTGTGAGGGGGAAGAGGAAAGAAAAAAGAAAGAGAGAAATGTGTCTCAGTAGATTGGGTAGAGAGAGGTGATGGGAGGGGAGAGGAGGGGAGGGGGGATAGGAAGGGCAACAGAATACAACAGACATTAGTATTGCTGTATGTATAAATGTGGCTGTATAACCAATGTGATCCTGCAATCTGTACATGTGGAAAAATAAGAATTCATACCCCATTTGAATCAAATGTATGATATGTCAAGATCATTGTATTGTCTTGAGCAACTAATAAAAAAAATGTTCTGTTTTGGTTTTGCATAAGAATAAAATGTTATAATATCTACAATTTACTTTAAAATAAAATTTAGCCAAAAAATGTATGAAGCAAAATAATAACCGATAAATCCAGGGATTGGGTACGTAGGTTTGTTATATTATTTATTCACTCTATTTTTTCTGCATGTTACCATTTTTCAGAACAACAAGTTTGGAAGGTTTAAAAATGTGTACATAAATCAACACATATCAAACTTAATAAAAGTACTAGGAAAAAAGTATGGAAGGTTTAAATACAACACAGTATGTTGGATTAGATCCTAGAACAACAAAAAGTACATGAATGGTATAAGTTGTGAAATCTGAAAATTCTGAAATTTTGTTAATGCTAGTGACCCAATGCTAATTTCCTAATTTTAGCAAATGTTACTTGGTTATGAAAATTGGTTAACATCAAAAGAAAGTTTTAACATTATAAAGGAACTCTTTATAGTGTACTATCAACAATCTCTCTGTAAATGTAAAATTATTTCAAAATAAAAAGGTTAATTAATTTAATTATTTTAAGTTAGAAAAGAGTCAATTAATCAACCAACCAATACATACATAGTGAAGTACCCGAACATACTTGTAAAAGTCTTCATAGAATCGCCCTTTGTGATCCTGTCGAATTGAGGCTTGATTTATTTCAGGAAATTCATCTGAAAAAGAGCCAATGTAGTATGTAGAGCATATTGAAAACAATAAATTCACAGCTTTGTAAGCTTCCTCTTCTGGGTTGAAGATTTGTATAACAAAAATATGAAGATAATTGTGTATCTATTATGTTCGTTTTATGATGAATCACAACCCACAGACTTCTTACATACACTGATATACTATGCTATTTTATTTTCTATTTTACCCTGTTCTCATACAAAGAAGATGAAAAGAATAGCTGGGGATAAATGTAGATAACCAAGCAAGGTGATGTGCACCCGGATTCCCAGTTACTACTCAGGAGGCTGAGGCAAAAGGAACGAATGAGCCCAGGAGTTTGAGTTATGCAACATAGATTTTAGTCTCAAATAAATAACAAAAACTAAAAAAGAAAAAAAATTACTCACCAATAGATTTTGCATCATAGAAAGTTCTAGAAAACAGAACCACTGTCACTTCATGACTGCAGTTCTTCTCCTACGCATAAGTAGAGAATAAAAGGGCTCAAGTTTATTTCATTTACTTCACAATATAGCGGCCTGCATGTGACAATATTCTATTTTAGGAGATTCAGCAAAAGTGCACAGAATTGAGTAATGACGTCATATAATTGTAGAAAGCATAGTATAGGACAGAGCACTACTGAGAGTCAGAAGATTGATCAAGTCCTGGCTCTGAAACTTACCACACATGACCTTGCGCAAGTTACCCAAAGCCCCAGGAATGTACAAAGTGCTTGAAAACCCGCAAATCACCAATATGCAAATGTTCCTATCTTCCAACTCTTAATTTAGCATGAAATCAGTCATTCCAGTATCTAAAACTCAAGATGTTTGCACTTGTTTTACATTAGTGTACTTTTTGTGTTTGTTTTTGTTTTTATTTTTTTTTAATTTCCTCAGACTTCAATCTAGGGAAGAAGAATAGCACTCGATGTATTGGATTCAAGATCAAAAATACTTCCATATCCTATCACCATTGTAGCATGAAGAATAGGGGCTGCCGGAGAAATGGAGGTATAAGCCAAGGGCATAAATTATCTTTTAGATGGGGAGTGAGAGCTACTGAGAATAAACATTTCCATGAAGTCTAGAGATAACATCCTAAAAGAAGGGTGTTTACAGATGGATGTGAAATGTGGCTACTTGTAATAAGTTAGTAAGCTCAGTTTCAGTCCTTCCAACCCCATCTCTATCCCAACAATACTTTCTAATCATATAATTCAGTATTCACCACATAGGCATACAAATTAATGCACTATATACCACTATATGTTCTTCCATGGCTGTATCTCAAGTGTACAGAAATTCCTAAATACAGTCACAGTACTAAGAACGGAGGACTAGAAAAGAACAGACCTTCATTAGCTACCCACTAAGTTACTGAACTCCAAATGCTCCAAAGTCAACATTCTTGTCAAATTTTGATATAAGAGGTTCACAGAAAATAGGTCACAATGCACTAGAGTGGGCAGAAGAGTTTCTTGACTCACGTGATGAAAAAAGAGGGATTACTTTTCTTTCCATTTTGCAGAAAAGGAAAGTGATGCTGAGAGAGACTGAATAATTCTCCAAGATCAAAAAGCTAATCAGGCTGATGGCACATGCCTATAATCCCGGCAATTCAGGACGCTGAACCAGGAGGATCGAAAGTTCAAGGCCAGCCTTAGCAATTTAATGAGGTCCTAAGCAACTCAGCAAGACCCTGTCTCAAAACATATTTTTTTAAAAAAGGGCTAGGGGGGAAAAAAAAAAAAAAAAACTTTATGTTCTTTTCCACTACATAATATGACCTGAAATACTTTTTTGATCAGGATGATGTTTCCATGTGAAATAAAGGTCAGCTAATTTGTAGGTTTTTAAAAATTGTGGTAAAATAAATGTAACATAAATGTACTATTAGTGTCATTTACTACATTTACAGTGTTGTGCAACCATCACTACTACATAGTTCCAGAACATTTTCATCACCCCAAAAGGAAATCCCATGTCATAGTCACTCCACCCTCAGTCCATTGCAACCAAAAATCTACTATTCACCTCTATATATTTGTTTATTCTGGACATTTCAGGCAAATGAAATTTTATGTGGTCATTTGTTTAGATTTTCCCATTTAGCATGTTTTCAAGATTCATCTTGGTGGCACATGCCTATAATCCCAGCAACCCAAGAGACTGAGGCAGGAGGCTCATTAGTTCAAGGTCAGCCACAGCAACTTAGCAAGGCCCTAAGCAACTGAGCAAGACTATATCTAAATAAAATATTTAAAAGATATGGGAACATGGCTCAGTGGTTAAGCATCCCTGGGTACCAAAAAAAAACATATTCACCCATGTCATAGCATATATTAGCACTTCATTCCTTTTTGCAGCTGAACATACTATATTGTATGGATATACCTGATTTTATTTATTCACTCATTAGCTTACAGATATTTGTGTTGTTTCCACTCGTTATCTATTATGAATAATGTTGTTAGGGATATGCATGTGGGATGGAAGTATAGTTCAGTGGTAGAGTAACTTGCCTAGCATGTATGAGGCCCTAGGTTCAATCCCTAGCACACACAAAAAAAGAATATGCACATGAGTTTTTGTGTGAATATGTTTTCAATTCTATCAAGTATAACTTGCCCTCCATATGAATGGATCCATTATCCACAAATAACCAACCGTAGATCAAACATACTCAAGAAAAAAAATTTCATCATACTGAACATGTACAAACTTTTTTCTTCCCATTATTTCCTAAAGAATACAACACAGCAATTATTTGCACAGTGGTTACCTTATATTACGTATTGTAAATAATCTAAAGATTATTTAAAGTATTTGGAAAGATACATAGATTTTATGCAAAAGTTACAACATTTTATATAAGGAACTTGAGCATCCATTCCAAAGATTTTGGTATCCACAGGGGGACCTGGAACTCTATGGATAATGAGGAATGATTATACACTCCCAAGTATGGAACTGCTGGGTCACACAGAAATTCCATTTAATTTATTGAGGAAATAACAACTTATTTTCCATAGTGGCCATACGATTTTACATTCCCAGCCACAATATATAAGAGTTTCAAATTCTCCATATTCTCTCCAATACTTATTATACATACTTCATTTTATAAAAAAGTATTATTAGATACAAAATAGTGCTGGGGATGTGGCTCAGGGGTTGGGTGCCGCTGATTTCAATCCTTGGTACCAAAAAATATATATATATATTCCTAGAGCCTGGGAATGTGATTCAATGGTAGAGCATATATGAGGTCCTGGGTTAAGTCCTAGCATCACACACCCACATGCACATATATGTATGTATGCATAATTAGTTGTCTTAGCAAATGTGAAGTAGTATTTCACTGTGGTATTAGCTTGTATTTTCCTAATGACTAATACTTGGACACCTTTTTACATACTTATCCATTTGTATATGTTCTTCGGAGAAATATATATTCAACTCCTTTGTCCATTTATTAATTAGTGTGATTCTTGAGTTCTAAAAGTTGCTGATATTTTCTCAATGCTATTTTCACTTTCTTGCTAGTGTCCTTTGAGGCACAAAGTTTTCAGTGTGTCTGTGTGTGTGTGTGTATGTAAATTGAAACCAGAGGATCTTGTACATGCTAAGCACATGCTCAACCACTGAACTACAACTACAACTCTGTTGAACTTTCATTTTTTAAAAAATATTTTTAGTTGAAGATGGACACAATACCTTTGTTTATTTAATTTTTTTATGTGGTGCTGGGGATCAAACCCAGTGCCTCACAATAGCTAGGCAAGCGCTCTATCACTGAGCCACAACCCTAGCCCAGATTTTCAAAGTTTAATTTATTTATTTCTTCTTCAGTTTGTTGTACTTTTGCTGACATACCTAAGAAACCCTGCCAAATCCAAGATCATAAAGATTTCCCTTAAGCGTTTTTTTAAGAGTTTCAAGGTTTTAGCTCTTATATTTAGGTCTTTAATTTTGGTTAATCTTTGTATATAATGTGAGGTAAGGATCCAAATTCATTCTTTTCCATATGGATATACAGTTGTCCCAGACCACTTGTTGAAAGATATTGTTCTTTCCCCAACTATATGAACTTAAAACCCTTATCCAAAATCAACTACCATAGATTTCTGGACTTTTAATTCTAATGTACTGATCTATATGTGTATCTTCATTCTAGTATCACTGTTGTAATGACTGTAGCTTTGTAGTAAGTTTTAAAATTAGTTAAATTTGAATCCTCCAAATGTGTTCTCCTTTACAAGACTGTTTCTGGCTGTTCAGGATTTCTTGAAATTCCACATGAACTTAGAATCAACTTTTCCATTTCTGCAAAAAGGTACTGAACTGTAGATTGCTTTGAGTAGTATAGCCATTTTAACAACATCAAGTATTTCAATCTGTGAATACAAGCTTTTTATTTGGGTCTTTATTAATTTCTTTCAGTAAGGTTTTATAGATTTTATTATACAAGTCCTGCCAGTCCTTGGGTAAATTATTTCCTTAAGTATTTTATTCCTTCTGATGTTATTGTAAATGCTTTCTCTAATTTCCTGTTTTGGTTGTTCTTTGATGGTATACAAATATCAATTTTCTGTGAAGATTTTATATCCAGAAACTCTACTTGATTTAGCACTAATAAATTTTTTGTAGATGGATTTTTAGGATTTTCTACATATAGGATCATGTTATTGGAAAACAAAGATAAGTTTTACTTCTTTTCCTATTTGGATATCTTTTTTTTAATTTTTTATTTGTGGGCTGGGGATGTGGCTCAAGCGGTAGCATGCTCGCCTGGCATGCGTGCGGCCCGGGTTCGATCCTCAGCACCACATACAAACAAAGATGTTGTGTCCACTGAAAACTAAAAAAATAAATAAATATTTAAAAAAAATAATAATAATTTTTATTTGTTTTAATTAGTTATATATGACAGTAGAATGCACTTATATACTTTGATATATCATACATAGATGTGATATAATTTCTCATTTTTCTGAGTATACATATTATAGAATCACATTGGTCCTACAGTTACATATACATAAAGTAATAATGTCTGTTTCATTCTACTATCTTTCTTATCCCCAAATCCCCTGCCTTCCCCTCCTTTCACTTCCATCTACCTAAAGTAACGCTTTTTTTTTTGCATTACAATTCTTAATACACATATATACCACAATTTTTGTATCTCTGTTTGTATATAAAGTATACTGACACCTAAATCTTTATACATATACTTTGTATAAGGATGTCCATCACATTCCACCATCCTTGCTAATCCCCTGCCCCCTCCCTTTTTCTTCCACCCCTCTTCCCTATCTAGAATTCATCTATTCCTCCCATGCTCTCCCTCCCTACCCCACTATGAGTCAACCTCCTTATATCAGAGAAAACATTTGGTATTTGTTTTGGGGAGATTGGCTGACTTCACTTAGCATTATCTTCTCCAAAACCATCCATTTACCTGCAAATGCCATGGTTTTGTTCTTTTTTAATGCTGAGTAAAATTCCATTGTGTATATGCCACATTTTTTTTATCCATTCATCCACTGAAAGACATCTAGGTTGGCTCCACAGTTTAGCTATTGTAAATTGTGCTGCTATAAACATTAAAAACAGTATGCTGTTTTTAAGTCCTTTGGGTATAGTCTGGGGAGAGGAATAGCTGGGTCAAATAGTGGTTCCATACCCAGTTTTCCAAGGAATCTCCATACTGCTTTCCATATTGGCTGCACCAACGTTCAGTCCCACTAGCCATGTATGAGTGTCCTCGCCAACACTTATTGTTGTTTGTCTTCATTATAGCTGACATTCTGACTGGAGTGAGATGATATCTTAGAGTGGTTTTGATTTGCATTTCTCTGATTATGCTAGAGATGATGAGCATTTTTTCATATATTTGTTGATTGATTGTATTATTTGAATATCTTTTATTTCTTTTATTGCCAAGTTGCTCTGCCTAGAACTCCTAGAACAATGTTGAATACCAGCGGCAAAAGCAAGCATCCTTATTCCTGATCCTAAGTTAAAGTTTTCAGTCTTTCAAACTTGAGTATGATATCAGCTATGGGTTTCATAAATACTCTTAACTATATTGAAATGATACTTAGTTTAGAGTTGAAGTCTTAGGTAACATAGCTTAATTTAAAGCAACTTAATAGAAACAATCCATTTTAAAAATCTGCATTGATTTTTGATCTTTGGATAAATGCCAAGAAGTGGGTTATATGGTGATTCCATTCCTATTTTTTTGAGGAATCTCCCATGGCTTTCCAAAGTGGTTGTACTAAATTGCAGTCCACCAACAATGCATCTGTGTACCTTTTCACCCACATCATCACCAGTATTTATTACTATTGGTGTTCTTGATAATTGCCATCCTGATTAGAGTGAGATAAAATCTTAGAATCATTTTGACTTGCATTTCCCTGATTGCTAGAGATGCTAACCATTTTTTTCATATATTTATTGGTCATTTGTTTTTCTTTTGAGAAACTTCTGATTAGTTCTTTTGCCCATTTATTGACTGAGTTATTCTTTTGGCATTGGGTTTTTTGAGTTCTTTATAAATTCTAAATATTAATCCCTGTCAGAGGAGTAGCTGGCAAAGATTATTTTTGTATTCTGTTGGCCCTCTCTTCACACTCTTAATCATTTCCTTTGCTCTACAGAAGCTTTAATTTGATGGCATCTCACTTATTGAGATGGTTTTATTTCCTGAGCTTTAGGGGTCAGGTCAGCATACTATAGTGATATAGCTACTTGAATGTTTATAGCAGCATAATTCATAATAGCCAAATTATGGAATCGGCCCAGATGCCCATCATATATATATATATATATATATATATATATATATACACACACAATAGTTTTACTCAGCCATAAAGAAGGATGAAATAATGGCATCTGCCAGCAAATACATGGAAATGGAGAATATCACACTAAGTGATATAAAGTGATATACGAATTGCTTTTTTGTGTATTTTTGGTGGTGCTGAGGATTGAACCCAGGGCCTCATACATGCTAGGCAAGCACTCTACCACTGAGCCACATCCCCAGGCAGTGCTAAGTGATATAAGCCAGCAGAAAATCAAGAATCAAATGTCTTTTCTCATATATGGAAGATAGAGCAAATAAGAGAAAGAAAGCAGTGGGGGAGTGGTGCAGGGGATTAGATATCACAAATAATAGGAAAGATCAGTAGAACAAAGAAGAACAAAAGAGAGGGAAGAAGGATGGAAAAGGGGAAGAAATATGGAATTAATTAAACAAAATCATGTTATATGAATACATAAATGTACCAAAAGGAATTTCAACTTTCTGTATAAGTAGAAAGTACCAATGAAAAATAAATAAAGGAGCAAAAGGAAGACCAGTACAGCACAGGAAGGAGAATATGGGGAGGAAAGAGGGGAGGAAAAAGCAGGCAGGAAATAGGGATTGAAATCAAATCCCTAGCATGTAATGAACCCAACTACTATAACTGTAATGCTCTAATTAAAAAAAAAAAAAAAATCTGCATTGACCAATATTTATCCAATGAGACTTAGTGTAGAAGAAGAAACGTACCTTCCACTTGGTAAATAGATCAGCAAGGAAACCATTCACAGCTTTCTCAAAATACAGATCCCCTGAAAAGAAATAGTAAGAATATGAGGTAACCTTATTTCTTGCTTTCATTTCTTCTCTAAAAAGTAAAAGAAATGAGACCAAAGAGAAAATGGTAGACTCTGCTAGACCTTAAAACAAGATCATAAAAGCCAAAAGTACAAGGAGATTTGTTTCATCCCAGACTTTCTATCAAGCCAATAATATCTGTTTCCCTTAGTTGTAGGCCATGGCTTCAAGGTAAAATGTTAGCTTGGAAAAAAAGCCTAGATTTTGGGGGCTGGGGCTGTAGCTCAGTGGTAGAGCGCTTGCCTAGCATGTATGAGGCACTGGGTTCGATCCTCAGCACCACATAAAAATAAACAAATAAAATAAAGGCATTCCGTCCATCTACAACTACAAAAAAAATAATTAAAAAAGAAAAAAAAAGCCTATTTTATTGATAAATACAGTATATCTCAAAATGAGAACAACCTAACCTCCAAATATGATTATGCTCATAGTGATGTTTAAAGTGTATTAGCAAATGAATTGATAGACCCTGGGAATTCACAAATTATCATCTGTAGTTCTTGCTATGCATAAGTGACCTTGTCAACTCACAGCAAACATTAATGTGTAATTTTGCTAAACACAAATTTGAATATCATGTACCATAAGGCTAATATGTTGGACATAGCATCTAGCATTTTCATTGTTCTCATTATGTCCTAATTCTAATATAATAAAATAAATTTGATTATTTCTGTAAGTGCTAGAAAAAGAAATGTAAAATATCAAAGAAGGTATCTGTTGTATCTGCTGCTAACCAGAGTTGTCACTCTGTAACTTTTTTGGGGGGGGTACAGGGGTACTTGGGATTGAACTCAGGAGCACTCAACCACTGAGCCACATCCCCAGCCCTATTTTGTATTTTATTTAGAGAGAGTCTCACTGAGTTGCTTAATGCTTCGTTTTGCTGAGCTTGGCTTTGAACTTGCAATTCTCCTGCCTCAGCCTCTCAAGACATTGGGATACAGGCATGTGCCACTGCACCTGGCACTCTAACTTTTCACTATATACTTAAAGATCAAGATCTGGCTGGACGTGGTGGCGCACATATTTGTATATATATATATATATATATATAATATATAATAACATACAAAAATATAACCTTTATATACCAACTTTATATATTTATGCATAAATATAAAGACTATAGATACATGTGTGTATATGTATATATGTGTGTGTATGTGTGTGTATATATATATAAATTTATTTCTCAACTTCATACATACATAAAATTTATCTCTCTATATACAGTCCGTCTATCTACCTTAGCATCAAGGCACATCTTTAAAGAGTGTCAAGAGTTTACGGTAAAATGATTGCAACTTAAGAGAAAACCAGAAAACTCTACCTAGTGGCAGTTACAATCAGCACTTAGAGAACATTACCATAAATATCAAAATCCCACATTTCACAGCTCATCTGAATAAATATGTAAACCATAGCTGACGTAGAACGGAACACCACCTGAAACAGGAGGAAAAAAAACATAATTGCATTAGAAAATAATAATGCAGTCAGGCACAGTGGCCCACGCCTGTAATCCCAGCAACTCAGGAGGCTGAGGCAGGATTCCAAGTTTAAGGCCAACAACTCAGCAAGACCCTGTCTCAAAATAAAATATAGAAAAGGACTGGTGATGTAGCTCAGTGGTAAAGCACCATAGGTTCAATCCCCAGTACTGCCAAAAAAAAACCACAATGATGTATGATTTTGGTGTTGCAAAATGAAGTAGTTCCTGAAGATCTGTTTTACAACAGTGTAAATAAACTTAACACACTGAACTACACACTTAATGTTTCCTATTGCTGGGCATGGTGATTTCCTATTGTAAATTTTATGTGTTTTAACACTTTTTTTTTTGGTATGTGGGGATTGAACCCCAGGCACTTAATCACTAAGCCACATCCCTAGCCTTTTTTTATATTTAATTTAGAAGACAAGGTCTCACCGAGTTGCTTAGGGCCTCACTAAGTTGCTGAGGCTGGCTTTGAACTTCCGATCCTCTTGCTGCAGCCTCCCCAGCCATTGGGATTATAGGTATGCACCACCACACCCAGCTCAATACTGTCTTTTAAAAAGCATGCTTCTTTTCTTTCTTTCATTTAAACAATTACTCAGCTCATACTCTGGTCCTTGTATTATTGGCAGTAATAAGATTTAGTCCCTGCCCTCTTGGAGTTTATAGCACATGATGTCAATGTGAAAAATACTGCAATATGTACAAACAATCCATGAAGATTCATTCACACAAGAAATGAAGCAGAAAGGGCAGAGAATCCACCTGGGCAAGTCACAGAAAGCTCATTATGGAAACAGAACCTGGGCAAAAATATACCAAATGAAAATGAAATCATTTGCCAGTCTAATAAATTATAATTCATACTTCCTCTTTGCCCAGACTGCCTCAAGGAAAAGCATAAGTGGCATTCTGGCCACATGTGTTTTACCATAGGATCTTTGCCCAGTTCTTTCCTCCTCCATGAGGTTCTGAAGAGGCTTGATATGAAAGCAGAATATAAATCTGTGACACTACTTTAGTTAGTTCATTTAGAGACCTGCTTCTTAAAGACAGAAGCATCTTTAAAGATCATACTCTTGGGGCTTTCTATACTCCCTGGGACATAACAGGTATTTGATAAGTTCATTCTCCTTCTCTAACACACAGAACACAAAGACAAAGAGGAAATATACCTTTCAAAATGTCAACTTTGATCATCTCTGGTATTGACTGGTATGAGGAATTTTGTTCCTTTGGGTTTTGTTTGTTTTGTTTTGTTTTTTGCAGTACTAGGAATCAAACCCAGTGCCTCACACATGCTAAGCAAACAGTGAGCTTTATCCTGAGACCTGTTTATTTTTTTAAATTATGACATACTTCAGAAAAAGAAATAGAAATATACATTATCTAAATTTTTTATAATAAACATTTAAGGCTCTGATAATCAAAGTTTTTGTTTGTTTGTTTTGCTAAGACAGGAAAAGTACAAATTCAAGGCCAGCCTCAGCAATTAGCATAACCCCCAACAATTTAGCAATCCTTAGTATCTCCACACAAAAAAAAATTTCTTCAACATGAATTTTGATGGAGACACTCCAACCACTGTACTGCATTCTACAATTGTTTTTTTATGTGCTCTCCACTTTGAAACTGTAAAGTGATAGTTATTATTTCATTCAAAAGGCTTCCAAAAGTCCCTTTTATTTTTGCAGTGCCGGAGATCAAACCCAAGGCCATGTACATGCTAGGCAAGCACTCTATCACCAAGCTACACCCCCAAACAGGTTTGGGTTTTTACAAATAGATTTCTGCAATTCAGTAGTTTCAAGTATATTCACAACATTGTACAACCATCACCATTAATTCCAGAGAATTTCCATCGCTCCAAAAAGAAACCCCATAACCATTACCTCTTATTCCCCAATTTCCTCTCTATGAACTTGCCTATTCTGGATGACATTTCATTAATAATTGTGAATATTTCACACCAATAGAATCATACTCTATGTGGTCTTTTGTGACTGGTTGTTTTCACTCAGCATAATGTTTTCCAACTTCATCCACTTTGTTGCATGAATCCAAAAGAATGTCAAGCTGGAGAGAGGAGGGGTTACACTTGTAATCCCAATTATTAAGGAGGCTGAGGCAAAAGAATTGTGAATTCAAGGCCAGCCTAGGCAACATATCGAGACCCCCATCTCAAAAACATTTTAAGGGCTGTGGTGTAGCTCAGTGGCAGAGCACTTGCCTAGCATGTATGGGGCACTGGGTTTGATCCTTAGCACCATATAAAAATAAACAAATAAACTAAAGACATTCTGTCCATCTACAACTACAAAAAAAAAAAAAAGTATTTAAAAAAAAAGTTTTTAAAAAAATTTTTAAAAAGGAAAAAAAAGCTGGGCACACTGGTGCATGCCTATAATCCTGGCAACTCAGGAGGCTGAGACAGGAGAACCATGAGTTCAAACCCAGCCTCAACAATGCTGAGGAGCTAAGCAACTCAGTGAGACCTTGTCTTTAAATAAAATACAAAACAGAGCTGGGGATGTGACTCAGTGGCCAAGTGCCCCCTGAGTTCAATCCCTGGTACCAAAAAAAAAGAAAAAAGAAAAGAAAAAGGACCTCATATTAACACCCCAACACACACACACACACACACAGACCCTCAATACACTGAAAATTAAGAATTTCATTTTTTTTTTAGAGAAAAAAAAATTTTTTAATATTTATTTTTTAGTTTTTGATGGACACAACATCTTTTTTTTTTTTATTTTTATATGGTGCTGAGCATTGAACCCAGTGCCCCGCACATGCCAGGAGAGCACATTACCGCTTGAGCCACATCCCCAGCCCAAGAATTTCATTCTTATTGCTGAAAATTATGTGGAAATACCACATTTTTGTTTCTCCATTTATCAGCTGATGAACAGCTGGCTAGTTTCTACTTTTGGGCTATTATACATAATCCTGTTGCGAACATTCATGTACAAGTTTTGGTGGGTACATATGCTTTTCAGTTCTCTCAGGTAAATACCTAGGAATAGAATCTCTGGGTAATATAGTAACTACGCAGTATCCTTGGAAATATAACACAAGGCTTATGGATGCTAGGCAAATGCTCTACCACTGAGCTACACACAGTTCACTGTGCTTAACTTTTTGAAGAACCACTAAGCTGTTTTCCACAGTGGTTGCACCATTTTACTTTCCTATCAGGACTATATGAGGTGAGAGGATCACTTGAGCCCAGGAATTCCAGGCCAACCTGCATAACACAGCAAGACCCCATCTCAAAAAATAAACATAGTAAAAGTTGCAGAAATAAATACTCCCTTTCCCTTTAAATTTAACACTTCTAATCTTTTTTTTAATATTTATTAGTTGTTTAGTTATAGGTGGACACAATATCTTTATTTGTATGTGGTGTTGAGAATCGAACCCAGTGCCTCACGCATACTAGGCAAACGCTCTACCTCTGAGCACAACCCCAGCCCTACTTCTAATCTTTTTGGGGTTGGAAAATCAGGTAAGTAACCTGGTAATAAAGTTTTTCTTTAAACAAGCGGTCTGGGGCTAGGGCTGCAGCTCAGTGGTAGAACACTTACCTAGCATGTGTGAGGCAATGGGTTTGATCCTCAGCAACACATATAAATAAATAAAATAAAAGTCCATGACAGCGGGCGAGGTGGAACACACCTGTAATCCCAGCGGCTGGGGAGGCTAAGATAGGAGGATTGTGAGTTCAAAGCCAGCCTCAGCAATGGCAAGGCACTTAGCAACTCAGTGAGACTCTGTCTCTAAAAGACAAAATAAGGCTGGGGGTGTGGCTCATTGGTTTAGTGTCCTTGAGTTCAATCCCTGGTACCAAAAAAAAAGATTGGACATCCAATTGCACATCCAATAAATGACATTCATCTTTAAAAAAAAAAAAAAAAGTCAGAAAACAACTAGAAAAAAATATTGAAAACAATAATAATAATAATAAGAGGGCTGGCCGGGGTTGTGGCTCAGCTGGTAGAGAGCTTGCCTGGCACACGTGAGGCACTAGGTTCGAGCCCCGGTGCCAAGCCACATAAAAATAAAATAAAGGCATTGTGTCCATTTACTAGAAAAAAATTTTAAAAAATAAGAGGGCTGACAGATGGTATAGCTCAGCGCTAGAGTGTGTGCTTAACATGTGCAAACTCCTGCATTCAATCCCCAGCATTAAAAAAAAAAAAAAAAAAAAATGCAGCCGGGCATATTGGCACATGCCTATAACCCCAGTGGCTTGGCAGGCTGAGGCAGAAGGATCCAGAGTTCAAAGCCAACTCAGCAAAAGCAAGGTGCTAAGCAACTCAGTGAGACCATCTCTAAATAAAATATAAAATAGGACTGGGAATGTGGCTCAGAAGTCAAATGCCCCTGAGTTCAACCCCAAGGTACCAAAAAAATAAAAGTTATATATATATACAAATATATGTGTGTGTGTGTGTGTATATATATATATATATATATATATATACATATATATGTATATGTATGTATATATATCTCATTCAATGTAAAGAAGGAAGGTATTGTGACATTCATTACTTAAAATTTTACAATGCTGGGCTAGGGATATAGCTCAGTTGGTAGAGTGCTTGCCTTGCATGCATAAGGCCCTGGGTTCAATCCCCAGAACCACCAAAAAAATAAAAATAAAAAGTAAAAAATTTTACAGTGCTAACCAAACATAATGGTGTATGCCTATAATCCCAGCAACTCAGAATACTGAGGCAGGATAGGAAGTTTGGGGGCAGTCTCAAAAACTTAGGAAGACCCTGTCTCAAAATAAAAATTAAAAATGGCTGGGGATGTGGCTCAGTAGTAAAGTACCTCTGGGTTCAACCCCCAGTATAAAAAAATAATAAAATAAAATATCATTCAATGGACATTCAAGAGATTACTAAATAACTATTTAACATCCATTTTCCAAAGCAGATTCTATTTTGGGAGGCAAGGGACCAAACCAAAAGACTAAACTTCCTAGTCTTAGCAGCAACATTCAACTAAATTCTAGCCAGTAAGATGTAAATGGGGTTTTGCTATATTTTCTTTATTTTGTTGTTGGGAATTGAACCCAGGACCTTATGCATGCTAACCCTGAGCCCTAGTAAGATGTACTATATCCTTAAAAGAAATGCAATTGGTTGAAAAGTAACCATCTCTTGTCTTCTTTCCCTAGAATATTCTGCCTAGAATATGGGATGTGGTTTCAGGAGCGTGAGCTGGATCATGGAAGTCCTAGCCATGATTTCAAGATGGCAGAGCAGGAAGATAGATGGAGACCTTAATAGATCACAAATAAAGTGTGACACTGTCATGCCCACCATGAATTATGTAACCAGAGTTCTCTTACATGAAAAGAAAAATAAAATAGTTGACTTTAAGCATTATAGCTACTGTTGCTTTGGGGTTTTTGTTCAACAAAATCGAAGCAAAAAAAAAAAAACAGTTTTAAGACAGGGTCTCCCTAAAAAAACCAGTGACCTTTCCATCTTGATCATCCACAAGACTGGGATCCAAATTAAAATCAGATATATTCCATGCTTGAACAAATATATCAAAATAGACTCTACTCTCATGTATAACTAAAAAGAACAAATAAAAAATAAGTATTTAGTATTTTTAATATTATAAAAACAATATTTGGCTCTGTATAATCTTTTTTGGAAATCTGTCACTTAACACTGTGTGCTAAAATTCATTCATATTATTACTTGTAGCTACAGTTCATTAATTCTTTTGTTGTTGTTGTTGTTGTTGTTGTTAATGGGGATTGAACTCAGGAGCACTCAACCACTAAGCCACATCCCCAGCCCCATTTTGTATTTTATTTAGAGACAGGGTCTCAATGAGTTGCTTAGTGCCTCACTAAGTTGATCCTCCTGTCTTAGCCCCAAGAGCCACTGGGATTACAGGCATGCATCACGGCACCGAGCCAAAAGAAATTTTCAAAAATAAGTGAAACAAATAATGTACTATTGAGGTAAAATATATACATATTAACACTAAATGAATGACAGGAAAATATAAAAATGAAATTCAAATAGCGGCTACCTGTCTGTAAAGACACTGATTCTTAACCAGGGGTGATTTTGCCCCTCAGGGGATCTGGTACCATCCAGAGACATATCTGGGTGTCATGATTTGTAGGGGGGGTCAGAGAATGAAACTGGCATCTCATGAGCAGAAGCCAAGGATGCTGTTAAATATACCAAAATGCACAAGACAGTTCCCATTACTGACATTTGGGCCAGGTAATTCTTTGTTTGGAGGCCTGTTCTATCTATCTATCTATCTATCTATCTATCTATCTATCTATCTATATGGATGCCGATAGCACAATAACTCAGTTATAACAACCAAAAAAATCTGGACATTGCCAAAAGACTCCTGAGGCAGCAAAATCACACCTAGTTGAGATAGTTTGACCAGCATGAGTAATATTCACAGCTGTTCAACTTGGATTCTTCCCACCACAGCAGAGACCCAGAAAGGATTCCTTTGCAAAGGTCTCTCTTCATGTTTACGACATGATCTTCAATGAGTTTCACTTTTGCTATGTATCAGTGGACAGAGAATCTTGCAGACTAGACACCATACCTCTATGTTGAACATTAAATAGGCTGATTTGGAATAAAACGACACAGGCTGGGATTATGGCTCAGCGGTTGAGCACTGGCCTAGCACATGTGCAGCCCGGGGTTCAATCCTCAGCAGCACATAAAAAATAAATCAATTAAAAAAAAAAAAAGCAATTGTGTCCAACTAAAAAAGAAAAAAAAAACAAAGATCAATCCCCAACCTGCAAAGATACAACTGTAAACATCAGAGTTGCAGAGCACTCTGATTCTAATTCCATAAAGGCAAACCAATAGCAATTATGAATTTTTTTTGTTTTATTTTTTTTTTTTTAATTTTTTATTGTGGGTTGTTCAAAACATTACAAATTTCTTGACATATCATATTCCACACTTTGATTCAAGTGGGTTATGAACTCCCACCTTCACCCCATACACAGATTGCAGATTCACATCAGTTACACATCCATTGATTTACAAATTGCCATACTAGTGTCTGTTGTGCTCCGCTGCCTTTCCCATCCTCCACCCTCCCCCCTCCCCACCTCTCCCCTCCCCTCCCCTCCTCTCTCTCTACCCCCTCCACTGTATAACCCTGAGGGTCTCCTTCCATTACCATGCAATTTCCCTTCTCTCTCCCTTTCCCTCCCACCTCTCATCCCTGTTAAATGTTAATCTTCTTCTCCTGCTCTTCGTCCCTACTCTGTTCTTAGTTACTTTCCTTATATCAAAGAAGACATTTGGCATTTGTTTTTTAGGGATTGGCTAGCTTCACTTAGCATAATCTGCTCTAATGCCATCCATTTCCCTGTAAATTCTATGATTTTGTCATTTTTTTAATGCAGAGTAATACTCCATTGTGTATAAATGCCACATTTTTTTTATCCATTCATCTATTGAAGGGCATCTAGGTTGGTTCCACAGTCTTGCTATTGTGAATTGTGCTGCTATGAACATCGATGTAGCAGTGTCCCTGTAGCATGCTCTTTTTAGGTCTTTAGGGAATAGACCGAGAAGGGGAATAGCTGGGTCAAATGGTGGCTCCATTCCCAGCTTTCCAAGAAATCTCCATACTGCTTTCCAAATTGGCTGCACCAATCTGCAGTCCCACCAGCAATGTACAAGTGTACCCTTTTCCCCACATCCTCGCCAGCACTTGTTGTTGTTTGACTTCCTAATGGCTGCCAATCTTACTGGAGTGAGATGATATCTTAGGGTGGTTTTGATTTGCATTTCTCTGACAGCTAGAGATGTTGAGCATTTTTTCATGTACTTGTTGATTGACTGTATGTCCTCCTCTGAGAAGTGTCTGTTCAGGTCCTTGGCCCATTTGTTGATTGGGTTGTTTGTTCTCTTATTGTCTAATTTTTTGAGTTCTTTGTATACTCTGGATATTAGGGCTCTATCTGAAGTGTGAGGAGTAAAGATTTGTTCCCAGGGTGTAGGCTCCCTATTTACCTCTCTTATTGTTTCCTTTGCTGAGAAAAAACTTTTTAGTTTGAGTAAGTCCCATTTGTTGATTCTAGTTATTAACTTTTGTGCTATGGGTGTCCTATTGAGGAATTTGGAGCCCGACCCCACCGACTGTAGATCGTAGCCAACTTTTTCTTCTATCAGACGGCGCGTCTCTGATTTGATATCAAGCTCCTTGATCCATTTTGAATTCACTTTTGTGCATGGAGAGAGAAAGGGATTCAGTTTCATTTTGTTGCATATGGATTTCCAGTTTTCCCAGCACCATTTGTTGAAGATGCTATCCTTCCTCCATTGCATGCTTTTAGCCCCTTTATCAAATATAAGATAGTTGTAGTTTTGTGGATTGGTTTCTGTGTCCTCTATTCTGTACCATTGGTCCACCCGCCTGTTTTGGTACCAGTACCATGCTGTTTTTGTTAGTATTGCTCTGTATTTTCTTTGTTTTATTTTGATCTTAGGACTAAGACATAATACTACAAGGAAATAAAACCAAAAAAAAAAAAAATACTTTATAAATCTTACCCTGGTATCTTCACTGATATAACCACACATGACCTTCTCATTCTTGACCCACAGCTCACCAGCTTGTGCCCTGAAAGGAAAGACAAACATAAATTATTACAAGTCTTAAATCAAGAAGAAATAAGAACTTCAGATAGCTAGCTCTACTCTAATAGTTATACCCAAATGACTTGATTAATTACACACTTACAAAAAGAATTCCATGAACAGATTACTCAACATAAAAAAAAAATTTCATACTGCATTGAATACATAAAAACAAGAGCTCTTAATCTGGGAGTTCATAGATAATTTATACTTCTAAGGAAGAGAGAACTCCAGGGAATCCATAACCCTCTGAAATGCAAGATTATCTGGGCAGAATTATCTGGGCACATAAAAAGTTAAAAAGCAGTTGTTTGACAAGATAGTGCACACCTGTAATTCCATCTACTTGGAAGGCTAAAACAGGAGGATTACAAATTTGAGGCTAGTCTTGGCAATTTATCAAGACCCTGTCTCAGAAAATAAAAGAGGCTTGGCACAGTGGCACACACCTGTATCCCCAGTGGCTCAGTAGGCTGAGACAAGAAGACCATGATTTCAAAGGGGAATTGCTAAGCAATTCAGTGAGACCCTGTCTCTACAAATAAAATACAAAATTGGGCTGGGGATGTGGCTCAGTGGTCTAGTACCTCTGAGTTCAATCACAGTATCCCCAAATAAATAAATTAAATAAATAAGTAAAAGGGGCTGCAAATGTAGCTCAGTGGTAGAGCATCCCAGATACAATTCTCAGTACCACAGGCAATCTGGCTCTGTTGAAAAATTTTAATGACAACTTAGTATTACATTTTTCCAGCTTTTTTCCTCTGAAAAAATTTAAGGGTATGAGGGCTGAAGTTGTAACTCAGTGGTAGAGCTCTTGCCTAGCCTGAATGAGGCACTGCATTCGATCCTCAGCACCACATAAAAATAAACAAATTAAAAAAAAAAAAAAAAAAAAAAATATATATATATATATATATATATATATATATATATATGAATAAATAAAATAAAGATATTGTGTCCATTTATAACTAAAAAAATTAAGGGTATGAAATGGATAATAGTAAAAAGACCTGACTAACCTGGGGAGAAACTAATCAAGGAAAGAATCCCAGCCCTAAGTGCTATTTATTAGTTAAATGACCCTGGGGAAACTCTGAGAGGATCAGTGTTCTTATTGTATAAAATGAGCTGTTATGAGAATTAAACCAGATGATGTGGGAAACTTCAGAATAATGCCAGGATAGAAGTGTTCAGTTAAGAGTACTAGGGGCTATTCTTATAAGTAAGAACTACAACAATAGCAAATATTTTAATAAAATGCTATCTTGGAGAGATATCTGAGAACCAGGTAATCATCCCTCAAACAATTACATATATATATACATATATTATATGTATAAATAACACACACATATAACATACATACATTAATATATGTAAATAAAAGCCAAGAAAATGCTATGTGCCATGAGTCATAACAGAGACTATGATAACTGAGACTACCCAGGAAAATGCTAGACACTCTCAACCTCTCTGAGCCTCTGCTGTATCTGTAAAATGAAGAGGATTAGACCAAACCTTTGGTTTTCAAGCATCCTTCTCGTGGTCCTAAAAAATATATCTCATAATATGCTATTGCCCAATTATGTCTGAATGGTCAAGTAGAACAAACCTGACTTGAGAAGGGGCCACTATTTCTTTAATATTACAGGTTGAGCATCCCTAATCCAAAAATCTAAAATATTAAATTCTCCAATGCCTACATGATGCCACAGTGGAAAATTCCATTGACTTCACTGTGATAAGAGTCAGAGTCAAAAGACAAGCACACTAAAAGCACTGTATAAAAATTAGGGTTGCAGATATAGCCCAGTGGTGGAGTATGCACAAAAAGCTGATTTCAATCTCCAGCACCACAAAAAAGTATTAAAAAAAAAAAAAAATTAGGGGCTACGGTTATAGCTTAGTGATAGAGCACTTGCCTCACGCATGTGAGGCACTGAGTTCGATCCTCAGCACCACATAAAAATAAAGAAAGATATTGTGTTAATCTATAACTAAAAAAATATTTTTAAAAAAATAATCTCAAGCTATGTGTAGAAGGTAAACAAGAAACAAATGAATTCTTTTTGCAATGGGGTCCCAACTCCAAGATATCATTATGTGCATGCAAATATTCCAAAATCTGAAAAAATCCAGTTTCTGAAATACTTCTAGTGCCAAGCTTTTCAAGTCAGAGATACTCAACCTGGACAGGCATGATAGTGCATGCCTGTAATCCCAGGGTCTTAAGAGGCTTAAGCAAGAGAATCCCAAATCTGAAGTTGGCCTCAGCAACTTAGTAAGACCCTGTTTCAGAATAATAAATAAGAAGGCTGGGCATGTAGCTTAATGGTACAGTGTCCCTGGGTTTAATCCCCAGTACCACGTACACACAAAAAGAGATACTCACCCTGTACAGTTTCAATGTTCCCATGTTCTGTGAGTTTCATTAGCAAGAAGCACTCTCCATATAAGCTACCAAACACCACATCAGTGGGGTCTCTAAACAAGCTCATTGTTAATAAATTAACTTACCAACTTCTCCAAGTATGTATATGCAAAGCAGTGTTAAAGAATTGGCTTAGATTCCTGCATTTTCACTCCCTGTTAGGGGTCAAGCCATAGCCCTTTCTGAGACCAGGTTTTTAAAAATCAGCAAATGTTAATTAGAATCTTGCCCCTTCCCTCTTCTAGAGCTCTCAGGAATATTAAATGGCCTACCATTAATGAGAAGAGCTAGTAAATAAACTACAAAATGTTATTATCATTCCTGTGGAAATAGTGATTTGGGGGGGGTTGTTTTTGATGGTACTGGGGGTTGAACCCAGGGGTGTCCTACTACTGAGCTACATTCCCTGCCCCCCCCCTTTTTCTCAATATTTTTTAGTTATACATGGACACAAGATCTTTATTTTGTTTGTTTATTTTTATATGGTACTGAGGATCAAACTCAGTGCCTTACACGTTCGAGGCAAGCACTCAACCGCTGAGCCACAACCCCAGCCCCTTCCCTGCCCCTTTTTAATTTTATTCTGAGACAGGGTCTCATGGAGTTGCCAAGGCTAGCCTCAAACTGTGATCCTCCTGCCTCTGCCTCCCAACTCACTAGGATTATAAGCATGCACCATAATGCCCAGAGGGAAATAGTTGTTTATTAATGCAGGTATACACACAGAAAATACAACGTGAATCCTTACTCCTTGGTCTTAATTAATTTGTCTTTACCTAGTTGAAGCTAAGAATAACCCTGAGGCAGTACTCTTTTCTTTTCTACCAGTTCAAGAAAGAGAGAAATGTTGCTGGCAAATGTAAGCACAAAATCCATATCCTGTAGGACACAACCTAAGTAACACAGATGACTTCCCACAAAGAGGCAGAATGGCACATTGCCAAGCCCTAGATCAGGGTGAAGAGACTTGGGGGGCATTAATTCCATAAGCTTGGCCTGGTCACTTCCCTCTCTTTTATCAATAACTGTTTGGGATCAATGGTCTCCACCATCCATTACAACCAAGTTTCATCATTCTGGGAACAAAAAGCTAAAATAACAAAGTGTGGTCACTGGACAGTCATTTACATTACATACCTTTGAAGAAGTTAAATGTTCAACAGTGGTATATTAATAATAAATTATCAAACCATACAACAAAATATCATGGAATCATTTCAATAATGTTTACAAGGAATTCTAATTTCATAAGAAATATTTATACACTTTTAAACAGACAAAAGAACACAAAATAGTATACATAGCTGGGAATGGTGGTACATGACTATTATTCCAGAAACTCCACAGACTTAGGCAAGAAGATCACAAATTCAAAAATCAAAAGGTCTGGGGATAAGTCAGTGACAGACCTCTAGCCTGGCAAGCATGAGGCCCTGGCTTTAATACTGCCCCCCCACCCCCTGCTGCCAAAGAGAAAAAAAGAAATGTAAGACATCTGAGAGGGTTGTTTTATTTTTGGACTTGGGGATTGAACCCAGGGCTTACTGCATGTTAGGTATGCCCCCAGTCACTCTGAGAGGGTTTCCAAACCAGGGCTCAGCAAGCTATACATAGCCTGTAGATCAAATAAAGCCCATATCCTGTTTGTTTTTGTTTTTGTTGTTGTTTGTTCGTTCTTTGTACTTGCAGATGGACAGTATGTCTTTATTTTGTTAACTTTTTTATGGGGTGCTAAGGATTGAACCCAGTGCCTCACATATGCCAGCCAAGCACTCTACCACAGAGCCACAACCCCAGCCCATAGTTCTTTAATTTAAAAGGAATTTCAGGGCTGCAGGTATAGCTCATGGCAAAACACTTGCCTAGCATGTATGAGGCTCTGGGTTCAATCTCCAGTACCACAAAAAAAAAAAAAAAAAGAGGAGGATTTCAAAAAGATTTTTTTCTATTTTCATTACAAACTGAAATACAGAAATAATTTTAACAAATATAGAGCACTGCAATATACTTACAAAGGCAACAAATCAGGAACTACTATTCTAGTCACTATTATATCCCTAAACCTGTTTTCTAATCTGTAAAATGAGGTTTGATTAAATATATTCATCTAAGGCTGGGCATGCTGGCACATGCCTGTAATCCCAGGGCCTTAGGAGGCTAAGGCAGGAGAATTGTATGTTCAAAGCAACTTAGTGAGACCCTAAGCAACTCAGTGACACCTGTCTCTAAACAAAATATTAAAAAGGGCTGGGATGTGGCTCAGGGGTTAAGCATTCCTGGGTTTAATCCCGGGTAAATAATAATAATAATAATAGATAGATCAAATCTTAGGTTTTTTCCAGCTCTAATATATATGTCTAAAACTCTTTGCTACAGAAAACCAGGGCTTCAGCAACTTCTACCACTAATCTTAAAACTACTATCATACCTTTTATGTAATAAAATACAAAAACTACTATCATACCCGTGTAATAAAATACAAAAGAGCTTAAAACACAGGTATGATAGTAGTTTTTGTATTTTATTACATAAAAGGTATGATAGTAGTATTTTATTACACGGGTATCCATGTGCCTCAAGTACCTTATGCAGCCCAGTTCTTGCACTAGATCCTACTTCTGTTTACTTACTGGTAGGTCAAAAGTGATTGAATACCTACCTGATGCCAGCAAATTCCACCTTCTGGGTGATATAGGCACATGTGCTGACCTAAAGGAAAAAAGAGAAAGAGATTCAACCTGTCAAGGCCATGCAAACAAGATCTCCTGGCTTTCTAATTTTTCCTAACAATTCAAAGTGTAATCAACATGGAAGTAATAGATTTACCCCACAGGACACCATGTTGGCACAAGTATAATAAATTCTTAAGAGTTTGGCAAGTATACACCAGCATTATTCTGCTAGGCTATTCAGTGTTAAATATGTTGGGGTTCTTTCTTTTTTTAAATACCCTTCAAAGTCTAATTATAGGATAAATTCAGATGTATATCAGACCATATATTTTGTAAAATACTCTTGATTTTTTTTAATTAGATTGCTAATGACAGGATTTGTTTGTTTAGTTTTATTTTTTTGTAGTGCTGGAGATTGAACCCAGGTCTTCAAGCATGCTAAGCAACCTCTACCACTGAGCTACATGGCCAATCCTTAAAATGTTTTATTGTTGTTGTTGCACTGGGGATTGAAACCAGGTGGGCTTAACCACATCCCCAGTCCTTTTTATTTTGTATTTTGAGAAGGGGATTATTTTGTGTAGGCTTGCTAAATTGCCGAGGTTGACCTCAAACTTGCAATTCTCTCACCTCAGCCTCCTGAGTAGCTGGGATTACAGGTGTGTCATCACATCCAGATAAAATACTCTTGATTAAAAAGTTTTATTTGTAGGGGCTGGGATTGTGGCTCAGTGGTAGAGCACTTGCCTAGCATGTGTGAGGAACTGGGTTCGATTCTCAGCACCATATAAAAATAAAGGTCCAACAACAACTAATAAAATATTTTTTAAAAAATTTTATTTGTAAATTATCCATTTTTGTTTATAGTATACCTGACTGATGTGATAAAATTCCATTGTCTTACCATAAAGTCTTGATGTTCAACACAAGGAAAGCAGATATTGTAAAGCATGTTCTGAATTTTAAAAGTGCAAAACAAAGCCACCAAGTTTAAATTAAAAAAGGAAAAAAGGTTAGGAAGTATAGACAATAATAAAAACAATATTAATAAGTGATCAGTTTGACATATATACTTCACACATTTACACAGATATCTACATGTAAATAATTTTGTTGTTGTTGTTTTGAGGTACAGAGGTTTGAGCCCACAGGTGCTATACCACTGAGGTATATATCTGGAATGTTTTTATTTTTAATTTCAAGACAGGCTCCAGCTAAGTTGACCAGGCTGGTAGTGAACTTGGTACTGCTGCCTCAGCCTCTCAAATTACTGAGATTAAGATTATAGGTATGCACGGCACCAAGCTATATATACATTTAAATATATACAGATGCTAGATGCCATGGCACATGTCTGTAATCCCAAGTATTAAGGAGGCTAAGGCAAGAAAATCTCAAGGTCAACCTCAACAACTTAGCCAGACCCCTGTCTCAAAAATAAAAAGGGCTGGAGATATAGCTCAGCGGTACCTCACCCCTGGGTTCAATCCCTAGTATCACAAATTTATTAATTAAATACAGCACAGTTTCTCTCTCTCTCTCTCTCTCTCTCTCTCTCTCTCTCTCTCTCTCCCCCCTCCCAAACACAGCACAGTTTCTCTCTCTCTCTCTCTCTCCCCCCCTCCCAAACACAGAACAGTTTCTTTCTCTCTCTCTCTCTCTCTCCTGGGTTCAATCCCTAGTATCACAAATTTATTAATTAATTAAAGCACAGTGTCTGTCTGTCTGTCTCTCTCTCCTGGGTTCAATCCCTAGTATCACAAATTAATTAATTAATTAAAGCACAGTCTCTCTCTCTCTCTCTCTCTCTCCCTCTCTCTCTCTAACAGTGTTGGGTATTGAACCCAGTGCTTCAAGCATGCTAGGCAATCCTCTTTATAACTAAGCCACACGCCCAGTCCTATTTCTCACTTTATCTTGCATTTTTAGGAAATGGAAACTTCCCTCACCAAATAAAAATATAAACAAAGACTTTTCTTCCAAAAAATACACATTACATGGAAGTTCTACTTATATTTGTCATTTCATAATACACAAAAACTCCATAAGAAGAGTGTTCAGTACCCAGTCACAATTTTGATGAATAGATCATTTTAAATGGAAAAAGGTCATCAAAAATTAGTCAGTAGTGTACACCTGTAATCCCAGCAGCTCAGGAGGCTGAGGCAGGAGGATCACAAGTTCAAAGCCAGCTTTAACAACTTAGCAAGGCTCGAAGCAACTCAGTGAGACCCTGTCTCTAAATAAAATATAAAAGGACTGGGGATGTGGCTCAGTGGTTAAGTGCCCATAGGTTCAATTCCCAGTACCAAATAAATAAATAGGGTGGGGGATGTGTAGCTCAGTGGTCCAGTGCTTGTCAAGCCTGTGTAAGGCCTTGGTTTCAATACCCAACACCTCTAAAATAAATAAATAAATAAATAAATAAATAAATAGAAGCCAGACACAGTGGCACATGCCTGTAATCCATGCCTGTAATAGGATAAATTCAGATGTATATCGGACCATATATTTTGCAAAATGCTCTTGATTTTTTTTAAAAATTAGATTGCTAATGACAGGATTTGTTTGTTTGTTTAGTTTTATTTTTTTGTAGTGCTGGATAAGGGCACCAAGGCAGAAGGATCACAAGTTCCAGGCTGGCGTCAGCAACTTAGCAAGGCTTTAAGCAACTTAGTAAGACCCTGTCTCATAATAAACAGGCTGGAGATACAGCTCACTGGTAAAGCACCCCTGGGTTCAATCCTCAGTACCAAAATAAATAAATAAATAGGGCCTGGAGTGGTGGTGCAGGCCTATAATCCCAACTACTAGGAAGGCAGAGGCAGGAAGATCGAGTTCAAGGCCAGCCTCAACAATTTATTGACATCCTGTCTCAAAATGGAAAAGAAAAAGGCCTAGGAATGTAGCTCAGTGGTAAAGTGCTCCTGGATTCAATCAAAAGAAAGAAGTAGGTCTAGGGGTGTAGCTTAGTGAGAACTTGCCTCACATGCATAAGGGTCCTGGGTTCAATTCCCAGCACCACAAAAATAAGTAAATAAGGAAAATGGGAGGAGGGTACAGCAAAAAGCAGTACAGGACTGGGGATGTAGCTCAGTTGGTACAGTGCTTGCCTCACATGCACAAGGCACTCCCTAGCACCACAGCACCACACAATCACACCAAAAAAAAAAAAAAAAAAGCAGCACAACCTGGAAGCCAGAAGACCTAGTTCTATAATTTCCCATTCAAGCCTAAAATGTAAAGTAAACATCTGTAACAATAAACAAAAACAAACTACAAAGAGAGTTGAAGAAGATATGACAAGATGTTTACAGTAATTGTCTGCAGATGCTAGAAGCAGAAATGATTCTATATTCTTCTCCCTAAAAGATCTTATAAATCTCTATGATAAAGAAGAATTATTTATATAATGGAATAAGAGGCTTTTTTTTAAATCACATCTTACCAAACTTTTCTTTAGTCGCCACATATCCCCTCGGCCAATGTATTGATCCTTAAAAGTTAATTCCACTAGGTCAAGGGTCACATCCTAAAAGGAATAATCAAACATACCTTTCTGCATTACTTTGCCACACTTTATAATAATAAGATAATGCTCACTCATCATGAGAAAAACACTTTTGCAAGAAAGAAAACTACTGAAAGGTCATCCTAAATAGCAGAATCCCAACAAACAGAATTTTATACACCAAAGGTTGTTAAGTACAGACGATAAGTCTCCAACAGATCCTATAGCACTTACCACATTTAGTGAAGAGTAACAAAGTACTAATTTTGTGTTTTAGTCTGTTTGCTATTTTAGTTTGCTTGTGGTTTGTGTTTTTGAGACAGGGTCTCACTATGTTGCCCAGACTGGTCTTGAACTCACAGGCTCAAGTGATCCTCCCACCTTAGCCACCTGAGTAACCAGAACTATAGGTGCACACCATCATGCCCTGTGTTTAATCTTGAATTCTACCATACAAATATAACATTGAACTTTATTTTCCTATATGTCAATAATACCTTTCGACAATGTTTTTTACCTATTATAGCATTTCAAGAAAAAAATTAGAAATAAAGAAATTTTAGTAATTTAACAGAGAATTACACATACATCTTCACACATAGAATGTTACTAGAACAAACTTTGAAAAGCACAGGGGGAATTTAAATGAAATCTAGATACCACCTATAATCTTTATTTCTTTTTTGGGGGGAGGGGAGTGCTGGGGATCAAACCCAGGGCCTCACGCATGCCAGGCAAGCGTTCTACCACTGAGCCACATCCCCAACCCACCACCTATAATCTAAATGACCTATATATATAATCACATATTTAATTATCTAACACTATACTTAAGTAACTCATTATTTCTTTAATGATTTAGACTTGGAGAAAGGGTACAAATCATTCTAAAAAGATATTCAAGTCCAGAACACAGACATACTTTAGGGTCTACAACATTCACGTATACATCTTGATAAGGTCTTAGCCGGAACACTTGAGTCACAGTCTGGTCCACACTGATAGTTTCTGAAACAGAAAAAAAATCTGAATCAGAGAACACATTTTGAAAAAACAGGTAAACATATTCTAACCTATAAATATGGAGATACTAAAAAAGCAACACAACTGATAACCCGCCTTGGGCAAGACATGTTCTCTGCCTTCGAGGAACTTAAAAAGAAACAACATTGGGCTGGAGGTATAACTTACTGGTAGAACATGTACTTAGCATACTGAACCCCTAAATTTAATCCCCAGCACACAAAAATAGCAATACAGCAAAATAAGAACGTTCAAAGACCTATTAGAAATCCATTTAAAAAAAAAAAAAAGTTTTTCTTATTCAGAATGAAGATAATAATGTAGTTCAGGAAGTTTTCAATGAGCCCTAAAGCTTGATAAATAAGAAATATAACAGGTGGCAGAAGATGGGGTAAGGGTATGAAGGAAAGTCTTAAGAAGACACACCAGGGGCTGGGGATGTGGCTCAAGTGGTAGCGCGCTCGCCTAGCATGCGTGAGGCACTGGGTTCGATTCTCAGCATAAACATAAACATAAAATAAAGATATTATGTCCACCTAAAAAAAAACTAAAAAATAAATATTAAAAAAAAAAAGAACAAGACACACCAGGGTTTTTGTTTTTTTTTTTTTTTTTCAGTGCTAGGGATCAAACTGTGGACCTTGCTTATAGTAGGTAAGTATTCCACCACTAACCTACATCCCTAGGCCAGAATTTTTTCTTATGAAATTTAAATATCAAATAGTTGAATATGAAAAGCTGATATCAAAGCCCTTTAGGAGAAATCACAAGGGTGTTTTGGTTTGTTTCTTTGAAGTACTATTTAAAGAATTATTTCCTATAAAGTAATATATGGGTTCCTTGGACAGCATGGCATAGCCATTAGAGGAAAAGGGAAAGAATTTGGATCCAGAGTGAGTAAGTAGTTGGGCATAGTGGTGCACATCTATAATCCCCATTATCTGGGAGGCTGAAGCAGGAGAATCACAAGTTTGAGACCTGTGTGGGCAACTTAGGAAGACCCCGGATCAAAATATATTTTTAAAAAGGGCTGGGAATGTAGCTCAGAAACAGTATCCTCCAATTCAAGCCCCCCCCCCGCCCCTCTCCCCACCCCCCCACCCCCTCCCCCCAACACACACACACATTCCCTGTACAGAGTTTGGACAAGTATTAGAACAATCATCAATATGTTTCTTCCATGCCCCTACCTCACCCAGAGTTGCACTTAAATATTTTGTGGGGAGAAAAAAAATAATAATAATAATTATATATATATATATACACACACACACACACACACACACACACACAAATATATATAAATAATATTTAGGAAACTATGCTTTAACAACATCTTTTTTTTTTTTTTTTTGGTGGGAGGAATTAAATATAAAACTTCCCATAGTCAGATTAACTTTTCTCCTGACTCTAAATATAGTTTCTTCAGTGCCCTCACGTTGCTGACAGATGAGATTCATTGGCAGTTTTGATAGGTGACAATTATTTAAAGAGGGAATAGAATTTGATAAGAAGAAAAGTACTCGCCCTCATACTCTGAGATTAGAAGTCTATTAGTTTCTAAAATAGTAAATATAAAATTCTCAAAGAAGAGAGCTCAAGGGGCTGGAGTTTTGGCTCAGTGATAGAGCACTTGCCTAGCATGTGTGAGGCACTGGGTTCAATCCTCAGCACCACATAAAAACAAATAAAATAAAGGTCCATTAACAACTAGTATTTTTAAAAAAAGAAGAGAGCTGTAATGTTTACCTTTTTGTAAATCCTCCTTAAGTGACTTGACTTGCAAAAGCAAAGGGCTAATAAAGTAAAAAACAAAGATGTGAGAGACCATAAGCAGTAATTCCCCAGCTTTCTTCAACCCCCACAAAAGATAAACAAATCACTCTTGGACATACTATAATTTGTAGCACTATGAGAATTCCATTAGAAACAAAGAAACTGTACTTGCAGGAAAAGAAATGGAAAAGTGCAACATAATCTTTCAGAGACATCATCCCAGCTTTAAAAACAGAAAGAGTGGACCACTTTAAAAAAAAACCAGGAGCTGCAGTTGTGGCTCAGTGGTAGAGCACTTGCTTAACATGTGTGAGGCACTGGGTTTAATTCTCAGCACTGTATATAAATAAATGAATAAAATAAAGGTCCATCAACATCTAAAAAAAAAAATTAAAAACACTAATGGTTGACCCAATCTCAAAGGACATTAGCATTTTAAAGTCAAACATCAATTGGAAGCAGCAGGCTGCCTGGTTTGCTTATCCTAGCAAGATGCTCACCTGTATTCATCGTTGGGGTGAGCAATCTCCACAATGTCTCCAAGCTTGATGTGAGGAAACACTTTGGGGTTCACAACTAGCTCATCATCTGAAAGACAATTCAATCTTAAATAGAAAACAGAAGCTGGGTCTGTAACTCTAAGGTGAAGCATGTGCTTAGCAGTCATGAAGCCCTGAATTAAATCCCAGAAACCCATCCCAAAAAGTAAAAATAACAAGTACAAAATGCACTCATAAATTTCTTTTTTTTTTTTTTTTTGCACCATTGGGAACTGAACCCAGGACCTTGCACATGCAAGACAAGTGCTCTACCACTATGCTATTTTTCTAGCCCTTTTTTATTATGAGAGAGGGTCTCACTAAGTTGCCATGTAGCCTTGAACTGATGATCCTTCTGCCTTTTTTTTTTTTTTTTTTTACAGAGAGAGTGAGAGAGGAGAGAGAGAGAGAGAGAATTTTTAGTTTTCGGCGGACACAACATCTTTGTATGTGGTGCTGAGGATCGAACCTGGGCCGCACGCATGCCAGGCGAGCATGCCACCGCTTGAGCCACATCCCCAGCCCCCCTAAGCTTCCTGAGTAGCTGGAATGACAGGAGTCTGACACCATATGCTATGGGTCTTTTGTTTTTGTGGGACTGTGTATTAAACTATTAAACTCAGGGCCTCATTCATACTAGGCAAGTGCTCTACCATAGAGCTATACCTCCAGACACTAAGATTATCTTTTTTTTTCCTACCAGGGGTTAAATTCAGGGGAACTTAATCACTGAGCCATGTCCCCAGCCCTTTTTATTTTCTACTTTGAGGCAGGATCTCATTAAGTTGCTGGGAGCCCAAGTTGCTGAGACTGGCTGTGAACTTGTCATCCTCCTGCCTCAGCCCCCTGAGCCACTGGGATTTCAGTCAGACACCACCATGCCTAGCTATTTAAAATAATTTTTATTAGTTCATTTTAGTTATACATAATATTATGATTCATTTGACAATTTACAAGCACAGAATATAATTTGCTCCAATTTATCCCCAGTACTTCCCCCTTTCCCTTCCCTCCTCCTTCCCCATTTCCTTTCCTCTACTCTAGTGATATTTCATCTATTTATTTATAGTTTTTTAAAATTATTACTTTATGGATATAAAGGTGAATTCACTGTGGTATAATCATATGTATAAGTAGGAAAGTTTGGTCAGACTCATCCCTTTGCCACTCCCTCCTTCCGCCTCCCTCCCCCTCACTCCACTTCCTCTACTCCACTAATTTATTTTCATAAAATCACAGCCCCACCCCATCTTTTTTTGTCCTTATTTTAATCTAGCTTCAACACATCCGAGAAAACATTTGACCCCTGACAGAATTTCTGAGTCTCGCTTATTTCATTTAACATGATATTCTCCAGTTCCATCCATTTACCAGCAAATGCCTAATTTCATTATTCCTTATAGCTGAGTAAAACTCCACTGTGTATATGTACCACATTTTCTTTATCCATTCCTCTGTTGATGGGCATACAGGTTGGTTCCATAGCTTGGCTATTGTAAATTGTGCTGCTTATAAGCACTGATGTGGCTGCATACCTATAGTATGCTGATTTTAGATGTTTTGGATATGTATCAAGGAGTGGGACAGCAGGGTTATATTATGGTTCCATTTCCAGTTTTTTGAGGAATCTCCATACTGTTTTCCAGAGTGGTTGTACTAATTTGCAGTCCCACCAATGGTTTTATTTTAGGAAGAAGATAATCACCTTTATTTAAGCTAATATTTTTAAAAAGTACATTTCACATTTCAAATATAACCCTACTCAATAAAATTCAGCCTTGCTGGGGATGTAGCTCAGTGGCACTGCAACATTTGCCCAGCACTTGAAAGCCCTGGGTTCCAGTTCCAGTAAGGTGGCAGATGGAAGAGATTCAGTCTAATGAAGTGAATGAAGCATTGGGTTAATCCCAAATTTATTTGATAAAACATTTCCATTGACAGTTTTTTGCCAAATCTCTGTGATGCCTCCTCCTAATTTCCATAGTCTGAATTAAGTTCCATGAGCACATATTTTGTTTTGTTTAGTTTCCTTTTTTCTATGTTTCTCATTAAACTTAAAGAGACCTTGTCATACTCATAATCTTTATGTTTGGCATAACTATAAGCCTAATAAATATATATTGGTTGTATATTTATAATTTTCAGTATGTTACCTAGCCACATGTCTTATGAACATAAAAAAGTAGATTTATATACATTGTATATGTTATTCACACTATATCCTTGTGTTATTCCCCATGCCAAAATTATTTCTGTTGTCTATTTAGTATCTATCTACTCCACAAATATTTAGGCAACACCAACAGCACACAAAGTATAGTATTGACAATGGTCTGTACATTTTAGCAGAAATTGTGTTTTAAATATAGCCATGCCTGTGTCTGGTCCATTACATCATTTAAGCAAAGACTCAAAACATCAGATATAAAAACTACTATTTTCCCTTTTTGGCAGTCCCTACCCTCTAACGGCTTATACATATTTAATATAGGAATAAATGCATACTAAAATATAGATTAGAGGTTGGGGTTGTGGCTCAGTGATAGAGTGCTTGCTTCACATGTATGAGGCACTGGGTTAGATTCTCAGCACAGCATATACATAAATGAATAAAATAAATGTCCATCAACATTTTAAAGAAATATATATAGAGAGAGAATTTTTTTTTTTAATTTCTTTTCTAAATTTTTTTCTTCTATACCTCCAAGTGTGGAGGTATAGTTCAGTGGTAGAGCACTTGCTACATGTGTGAGGCCCTGGTTTTGATCTCCGCCATATATATATAACTTAAAATACATCCAAGTACTGTGGGCTCATTTATACATTCTCAGCTACTCAGAAAGGCTGAGGCAAGAGGATTGCAAATTCAAGGCTAATCTCAGCAACTTAGTGAGACCTCTCAAAATAAAAAATAAAAAAGAGCTGAGGATGAGGCTATAGTTCAGTGGTAGAGCACACCTAACATGTGGAAGCACCTGGATTCAATCCTCAGTACAGAAAAAAAGGGGAGGGGGGCTAAAAAACAGACTTAATATGTCATTAATTGCAAATTCTGAAGTAAATAAGGTTGTTAAGATGTAAGGGAAAATAATTCCTTTACAAAAGAAGAATATCATACTACCAAGTGCCCTACTTTTCTGCAGATTTATGAAGTCAAGGCTCTAAGAAAAACTATTGTAAAGAAAGCCCTTGAAGGCTGGGACTGTAGCTCAATAGTAGAGACTAGCCTAGCATGTGTGAGGCACTGGGTTGGATCTTCAGCACCATATAAAAATAAATAAGAAAAAAAAGTATTGTGTTCATCTATACTTAAAAAAAAAAAAAAAGGAAGAAAGAAAGCCCTTGAACTTGAAGATAAGGAAAACTAGAGGCTTACCTGAGATGAATATGGAAAGTCAGAGGCAGAGCTATTATGCAGATTATGCTTTAGTGCAAGCTAACATGCTGCATCCTGTCCCTTTTTATGGCAAGGAGACAGGCAAACTTTCATGCTTTGACCATACCTGTTCTATACACATCTATGCAAAGTCTCACTGATTCTAAACACTAAAATACCATTTTAGTTTCTCTTATCTGCCAAACAAGTGTAGGCTGGAATTTTAAATATACAGTAAATTTGTAATAAGCAACACAATTCAACAAATGAATGAAAATAAACTGGCAATATTCACAATGTTCATTAAAAGCCTGAATGAAAATACTTTTAGAAAGGGCCTGTGGTTTATAAGTCCTATCATACTTCTTATTCCTGCTTTACTCAGGAAAGTTGCCTGTCTAGCCTCAACTGTCACATGAGTTGATGCGTAATTTTCCAGTCACTGGACACATCAGAATTTCAGCCAACTTCCACAACCCCCAAAGATCAATCAATACTGACCACTGCCTCCAAAGCCCTTCTTGTGGATGACCAGTTTGTAGACCTTTGTTGTTCTCATCTTGTCCTTTGGTTTCCTTCAGCTGTTCCAATCTTGGAGCAGAGAAGTCATCTTGCTTCCCTGCCATTGAAACACAAACAAGAAGGCTGGAATGTCAGACTTTCCTTGCACTCCTCTTCTGATTTTGGTATTACTCAGTTGAGAGGAAGCGCCAAACACAGGATGAAATCACTCCGCCAATCACAAAGAGAGGGAAAACAATCCAGAATCTAAGAACTAAGGGTAATTGGGGGCCGGGTCTGGTCAAACCTCTAAAAAGATATTCTATCTATCGCATCCCTAAAGAGGACACTTGCAGTAAATGGGACATTCATTACCTGGTCTCCATCTATACCAATAATACCCGAATAATACAGAAATCTTAAAAGAGGTTAACCTACTCCATTTGTAGACAAAACACAAGGGACTTGCCCAAGGTCACTCAGACACTTTGGAGCACTCCCGCAATTTGCGTTCACCCAACAAAGTCCTGGGCAAGGCAAGTATGAATAAGAGGAAAGCAGGGGGTTCCATCAGTACGAACTCTCAGCGGACCCTTCCGCTGAGGCCGCTGAGACTCAAAGAGGGAGCAAGACTTGTCCAAGGTGACAAAGCAGGTTGGGGACAGAGTCGGGACTCGAACCGGGGCCAAGGCCCCCTCCCTCGGAGGCCCCCCACGCCCCAGCTCAGAGTGGGCAGCTCCTCTCACCTGCAGCTCCGGAACCCCTTCCCACCTCAGGCCGGAGCCCCGAGGGCAGGACCCTCAGTAAGTACCCGCGCCTCCTCAGAACACCCCACGTAACCCCGTACAGCCCGCAGGCTTCCCACCCCCGAGTTCTAGGAACCGGCAGGCCCTACACAGCCACGGAGAGCTCACCTGAGAACCCGCGCCGCTCCCGTAGCTCCGCCCAGGGGCACCGCCCCCTTCCCGCCCCCGCGTCCCGGGCCGCTCTCGCCAGGCCTCCTCCTCGTCTCGGTGACCGCGCCACTTCCTCATCCGGGGCTCGCGCCAAGGGTGGGGTGTCGCCTGCAGCCTCTGCCTCTGACCACTTCTCAGCGTTTCTCAGCCACTAGCCAAACCCTTTGCTTGCCTTGAGAAGGAAATGCGGAAATAGATTAGTACCCAGGAGCCTAGTTTTACACTTAGTGATCAGCAGCAGGGGAAACAGGGCGAGTGTCCCCAAGCTAAACTTCCTTGCATATAAACGAGGCTAATTACTCTCTCCTGCCCACCCCCCAGGGCTTCTGAGAGGTGTGAAAGGAAATTTCTGGGAGAAACTTTGGAAAATACAAAGGGCCGAGTGTATAAGACAGTGTAAAGGTTCCTATTAGCAAGTATCCATTTGGGGGATGTTTACAAACACCCCAAGACTTTCTGTGCTCTTCTGGCTATTAATAACAAAATAGTGGCTGCCCATAACTTAATATCCTCATGTAGTTGTATGCCTAGTAGGTGGTAGATACTATTGTACTTCACAGACAGAGACTGAGGCTAAAAGACACAAACTCCTCGGAAGGATAGATCCAGACCCCACAGAGTCCAGCATGACACATAAACACCCATAGCTCTGTCCAAATTCCCATCTGATTTGGACATTGGTCTTCCCTCAAGATGATAGAAGATAGAAGTGGAAGGTGGGAACAAGAGGTTAAGGGAATAATTCTATAAAATACCCCCTCTATGGTGTCCCCACATTCTTATTTCTAAGAAGCAATTTATGTTCAGCCCTGCCTGTATTAAGTGGATGGGATATGTCACATTCCTCAGCAAACTACCTGTTATCCGCAGGAGAACTGCAGGCCCCAAATAATGTTGATAAGAGGAACCCAAGTGACCCTGAAGGGGGAAACTTTTGTGACCCTTTATACAGACTAGATGCGGAAACTTGGGTAAATAAGGAAAATTCCTCTTAACCATAAACTCTTTAAGAATTTATGGCTGGGGCTGGGGATATAGCTCAGTTGGTAGAGTACTTGCTTCACATGCATGAGGCCCTGGGTTCAATCCCCAGTACCAAAAAAAAAAAAAAAGAATTTATGGCTAAGAATCCAATTAGAGGGCTGGAAATATAGCTCAGTTGGCAGTGTGCTTGCCTCACATGCAGAAGGCCCTGGGTTCAATCTCAGCCCCCCCCACAAAAAAAAAAAAAATTCAAGAATCCAATTAGAGGGGCCAGGGTTGTGGCTCAGTGGTAGAGCGCTTGCCTTGCCTGCATGAAGTGGGTTCAATCCCTGGCACCACATAAAAATAAAAACAAAGGTATTGTGTCCATCTACAACTAAAAAATATGTATATTAAAAAAAAAAAAAGAAAAAGAATCCAATTAGAGGGACTGGGGTTGTAGCTCAGTGTAGCTTACCTCACATGTGTGAGGCACTGGGTTCCATCCTCTGTACCACTTAAAAATAAAGATAGTTAAAAAAAAAATCAAATTAGACCTGGTCAGCATAGGCCAAAATGACCTAAAGTTGTCATGACAGTGGGGATGTGAAAGTCTGATGTCATCCTGCTGTCAGTCAAAACTCAAGAGGTAGACGTGGGTGGGACCCTCTGGAAACTTCTCGGGCATCCCCAATAAAGCTGGCATCCAGGACATACATGCTGTCCCTAAGAGGACCCTCTCTCTCCCTTAAGAGAGTCCCCTTTCTCTTTTCCTGTCCCTTCAATAAATTCATGCCTGTTACTCTAGACAATATATCTGAAATCTTTCTAACTTGATCTCAAGGATGGTGTTTGAAGCTGATGTCTTGGCATGGCTCAGAAGGCTGAGGTAGGAGGGTTTCAAGTTCAAAGCCAGCCTCAGCAACTTAGCAAGGCTCTTAACAACTCAATGAGACTCTGTCTCCAAATAAAATTCAATAAAGGACTGGGGAGAGGCTCAATGTTTGAGTGCCCCTGGGTTCAATCCCCAGTACCAAAAAAAAAAAAGAATGGGTTTTTGAAGGTGGCCTCAGTTTCCCAGAACACCACAGCCCTGTAACAAAGAGAGAGCACACCAGAAACCAGAGGTGTGGTGACTCACTCCTGTAATCCTAGCAGCTCAGGAGAATCTCAATTTTGAGGCCAGCCTCAGCAACTTAGTAAGGCCTTGTACAACTTAGTGTGACCCTGTCTCAAAAAACGTAAAGGGATGTGGCTCAGTGGTAGGCGCTTGTGGTTTTAATTACCAGTACCAAAAAGAAGGAGAAGGATAAGAACAAAAAGAGAGAAAAACAGAGCTGAGTGGGCTGTGTCCTCAGGGCTCCTGACAAGTTGCAAACACTGCTGCTGCCAATCTACCACTGTGGTCTACTAATCTACTTCTTCTTCTTCTTCTTCTTCTTCTTTTTTTTTTTTTACTTTATAGTGCTGGGGATTGAAGTCAGAGCTTATAGCTAGGTGAGCACTCTACCACTGAGCTACACCCCCAGCCCTTGATTCTCTATTTCTCTAAACTGGACATCTGCAACTATAGAAGCCTGACTGCTTCCATTTTGGTAGCTGGAGAGATCTCTTAATAACTGGAATGTGATTTTAGGTCATATCATTCCCATGTTTCCAATCACAGTGATCACTAAATCTAAATAGCATTCCTGCCTCCAATTACAGCACTCCAATTTTATTTCCTCACAGCTTTAATACAAGCTCTACCAGTTTCCTATGATTTTGAGAAAATATATGAATGTTGAAGAAAAAGAAAAGTATAGTTGGGGCTTAGAAGTAGGCCAAGAGGACCCCTAGATTAAGACAAGCAAGAACTTCCTTCAATGTAGATATTTTTGCTTTAAAATTCAGTATAAGTTGAGTAATTTAACTTATTTTTTAAGTAATCATAAAAACCTTTCTCCTCCTCTTCTCTGAGGACAGAGTCTCACTGTGTTGATGAGGCCAGCCTCAAACTCCCAGGCTCAAATGATCCTTCTGCCTCAGCTTCTCTAGTAACTGAGGCTATAGGTGCACTCTTTTTTTTTTTTTTTTAAAGAAAGAGTGAGAGAGAATTTTTTAATATTTATTTTTTAGTTTTTGGCAGACACAACATCTTTGTTTGTATGTGGTGCTGAGGATAGAACCTGAGCCGCACACATGCCAGGCGAGTGTGCTACCGCTTGAGCCACATCTCCAGCCCTATAGGTGCACTCTTGTGAAAGAAAAACAGGGAGCTGGGGCTGTATCTCAGTGGTAGAGCACTTGCCTAGCATGTGTGAGACCCTGGGTTTGATCCTCAGCACCATGTAAAAAATTAATTAATTAATTAAAGGTATTCTGAAAAAAATAGAATCTTTTTTTAAAAAAAGAAGAAGAAAAGAAAAATGGAGCTGGGTATGTAGTCAGTAATAGAGCATTTGCCTAGCATGGTTGAGGTCTTGGGTTAGACACCTGGCTGCTCAAAGAAAAAGAAAAGAAAAGCCATCCATAATCATGTAGAGGGCAACAGTTACACAAATTTTCAAGGATAAAATGTTATATATAGGCAGACTTAGAGGCTCATGCTATAATCCCAGCTACTTGGGAGGCTGAAGCAGGAGGATCTCAAGTTTAAGTCAACCTCAGAAATTTAGCCAGACCCTGTCTCAAAATAAAAAAATAAAAAAGGCTGGAGACGTAGCTCAGTGGCAAAGCACCCATGAGTTTAATCTCCAATACAAAAAGAGAAAAAAAAAAAAAAAAACAATTACATGTAACAGAAATGTTTACATGTTTAAATGTTTACAGGTCCCACCCAGAGACATCCCCAACATTGTTTTCTGTCTTAACAAACAAGTGGTTGGAGAAAAGTCCTCCTTGTCAGAGGAAACTAACTTAATTCTCTCTTCTTGGCCTTCAGGAGAATGAGATTCCTTCTCCTGAGAGATGTCCCTAGTTGGTGTCATATCTTTTTTTTTTTTTTTTTAATTGTTGATAGACCTTTATTTTTATTTATTTATACGCGGTGCTGAGAATCGAACCCAGTGCCTCACACATGCCAAGCAAGTGCACTACCACTGAGCCCCAGCCCCAGCCCCTGGTGTCAAATCTTAGAAATGAAAAACATCATTTTTGAATGTGGCAATTCTCCTTTAAAATAAACAAACAAACAAAAATCGAAAACGTTTAAGTTTGTGGCCCAGCGGTTGAGTGTTCCTGGGTTCAATCCCCAGTACCCCCCCAAAAAATAGTTTGGAGGGGTCCTTTGCACTGCCTCAGTTTCAAGTCAAGGTTAGGGAGGACAGAGCAGATTGCCCCCAGAGGAGAGATCTTTCAGCCTTGGTTCTATAATCACTGTGCTACAATGATTTAAACATTGCCTGTTTTGTTTTGTTGTTTTGTTATGTGTCCTTGCACAAGATACTTCTTTTTTCAAATTTCTCCCTGTCAAATGAGAATAAAAAGTACATATCCTTCCTCCTTTATGAGATGTCTAAGGGCTACATGAGGTGAGGAACATATTACATTAGGTTTTTTAAAATTAAATGAATTGGGTTCAGTGTGTAATTCAGTGATAGAGCGCTTGTCTAGCATGCACAGGTTCTGGGTTCAATTCCTACCACTGCAAAACAAAACAAAAACAATAATATATTAAAAGTGATATATGAATGTGGAGATAGTATGAATTAACCAAAAGCAAAAAGCATGCAATTCTTCAGGAAATTGGCTCTTTTCCAAGTTTAAGGAGTTTAGACAATATATCTGATGGTTCTTTTGGACCCCAACTGTGCCTGGTGCAGAGTTAGAAGCTAGAAGCAGGGCTGGAATTAGGATTAGGTGAGGCACTTGTATTGTATTTGGGTAAAAGTTTTAAGGGTTGTGTCAAGAAGAAACCTCAGCAAGATGAACTATACATATATCAGCATATATATATGAAATATGTAACAGTATATAGGTTTATTTTGAGACAGCTTTGCT